GATGATGATGATTGCCTTTTGTGAAGGTACGTAAGTAAAACAGCATCTAACCATGAAGGTGTGCCAAGATATGTATCACATTTGCATGTAGGAGAAGGTCGAGCTGCATAAACTAATTTGTATATGTAAAAAGATACATATACATATTGAATGAGTCACTCATCCTGAAACTCAATGGAGGGATCTCTTCACTTTTTCTCTTCTCAAGCTCATCCCACTTCCCACTCCTCCTTATTGTATCGCAGGAGCCATGTACTTCTTGCATGACCGATAACCTGGCCACCTTTATTATTCCATCTTCGAAGCAATAGTATGTAATCCACAAGCTAGCAACCTCCAACAAGCGTGTAATAAATAAACAATGCTTTATTTCATCTAGCTATCTTGCTATGTACTGTACATTGCCACCACCATCCTCGTAGTCGTCCTCCACCATCATTCCTACTCGTACTCATCACCAGTCGTCAATCTCATCCGTCACACCAACATCCAAAAATACACAAGTTGAAAAGAATGGGATCTTGCAGGCTTACTTTTGAATCTCGTTGTCGTCATCATTGTCATTGTTGTAGATGGGGTGATCATCGTAATCGTCATTGTTGTGAATGTGGTAATCATCGTAATCGTCGTCTCTATAAATAAGAAAGCAAGCAAGTTAGACCATATGATGCCGGGAATGATGACGATTTGGTATACCGTTAGGCGATCCTCTCCAAGGAAGAAAGCAAATCAGAAGGAATTCACAAACCAAATCACCACCATACGAGCAACGTCGGGCGATCCCTTGTTCTTGAGAAGGCACTGCACGAATCACGCAAGGCCAGTTCGATCCATGGCAAGGAAGGACATCACTTACGTAGAGTCCAGGCTCATAGTTGTCCTCATTCATCCTCTCAAAGAAAGAATGACCCTCAATCCTTCCAATCATTTCCCACCTCATGAAAAGAAATCTTCAAGGGAAAGAACGAGCCTATCACGAGGAGAGCGTGTTGGTTCAACACATTCACAAGCTGTTGCAAATCCCCCTTTACCTTAACGCGGTGACCATGCTCTTCCAAAAATCCATCGTCATCGACCCATCCTCAACTCAACGCAGGCCTGTAGAGCCCTGGGCGCGTTCCAAGAAGCTTTTCCAGCACACTTGGCTAGTGCAGAGCGACGCAGAGGCCACTTGATACAGGCTGGGACTTGAACCCAAAGAGATGATGATGATGATGCCCCAAGTTGCATTGCCTGACCAAAGAAACCTATTCAATTCATTATTAGCACACACATACAATAAAACGCCTCTTTTCATTGCTTGTTTCATTGTACTTGCCTTTTCCATATACACAAAGACCCGTTGTTGTTGGTTACTGGAAACCGAAAACCATGGTGTAGAATAGTTGAGCCGAAACAAACGCCAAAGCAGCCAACGTCTTGAAACCAAACTTGCCCTCTATACAAGCTGACGCGTCAATGGAACCAATTCGGCTGCAACATTGGACTCTGAATGTACCTGTTGACACCAAGCGTAGAGCGGGAATAGCAACAGAGAAGAGGAAGCAACGATATCGCCATGGCAACCACCAACCACCAACCACGCTCATTCCTCAGCATTTGGACACACACTCACTCCCTGACAATGCATGTTCAGAACTACATTAACACCTCACAGCCAACAAGAGCACTCTTTGATAATACATTACCTTGATCGAGATGTCGTGAATGGAATAAAAGCAGAGGAGTGAGAAAGAGAAGAGAAGCGTTGTCTCAAGTCGTGGAGCTACCGGCCCCCAAGTTTAAATCCCCTACTGCTATTACACTGAGGCCATCAATGACCCCACATACACCATCCACCCATCATGATCATCACCCTCACGATAGACAACAGGTACATGCAAATAAAAGAAATGATCCTCACGTATAGCAAAAGGGTGTGTGCCATTTTACACTTTACGTGATAATGATGATCCAACAACAGCCATTACCTTGCTACCAGGTTAGCTCGAATCATGAAAGTTGAATGATGGGAATGATGGGCTGGAGCATGACAATCGTTCACATGCATTGGATTGGGAAACAAAGGTGAATGGGAGGAATGGGCTATTAGCTAGTGGTTTATGAAATGAATGTTGAATAAGGTATCATGGTGTTGACCTGATTTGTTCGCTGCCCTGAACATTGCTGCCGGACGTCTTATAACAGAGGTGGTTCCTTATTGTAAGTATGGATAAAGCACAGGGTTACAGGTTCCTGTAAATTGCATAAACGTGTAAGCTTATTGTAAAATCATCACTCCATAGGCAGTGTTAAGCCATTCAACGAGAAATCACATTCAAAAGCGAAGCGAGCAAACCGTGTTTTAGTGAAATCCAAGTTTGACATCCACATGATGAGTAGTAAACTGCAAAGAGCTAGGCAAAGTTTTCTACATACGAATCTATCTCAAGTAGATAAAAGAAAAGGTTACGTATGTGAGCTGTGAGAGACGATCGACGTTATCATTGGTAGTAAGTACAAGTCGGCATTTTATTCAAGTGGTGTGTGTACAGCACAAGACGAACGTACTGCACGACCACCCCATGTTGTATTTAGGTTCTATGACTTCAGAGGATCAAGTATGCAATTCATGATGAAGATTCGGGTAAAGGGAAAATGTAGATGGCAAAAGGACTGTACAATTGAATAAGAAAGGGTATATACGATCGGGCAAAGATGGGACATCAGCGCACTTGATTGGCAATATCAGCAAGCAAAAGCTCCCGTTCCTGCCTCAGCTCATGCTAATCACAAAATGGGTAAGTCAAGTGCTACAGCATTCATGAATGGATGGATGGATGGCAATATGACTTACCAGGCGGTCTTCGGCTTCTTTGTACTTTCTTGAAGCTAGCATCATGTCCTAATTACTATACATTAGCGCATGTTGTGATCGATGCGGTATGGACTTACAGGAGGCAGATCATTGTAGCCAGCAAGTACATCATTTTGTTCAGCAAGGACTTCTTCCACAGCAGCCATATCATGCCCCATTTTTGCAAGTGCCGACAACCGGAGTTGTAGTTGCTCAACCTCCGTATCCTCATATTCATTCTATCAAAAGATGCAATGTTAATGATGCTGGTACCTCGGGCAATCAACATCATCCCCGCCTCACAAAGTTACCTGTAAAAGAGCATATTCTTCTTGTTGATCTTGTGTTTGTTGTAACAAAGCGTCTGTATCAGCTTCCATGCGTCGTACAAAACGATCATCCTGGTCATGTTGTTGGCGTTGTCGTATAGAAGAAAGCATTCTAGAAGAGAGCCAGCCCGAGTTGAGTATATACAACGGCGGGGATCACATCATCCACTATCCAAACGATCCTCTACTACTGTACTCACGTTTTCATCTTGCTCAGCTCATCTTCCGCGTTTTTGATCCGACCTCGCAGTGCATATTCCATTTCATCCAGCTCATTCTCCTCGAGCTCCGCTTCCAACGTATCGATTGTCAATTGTGCCAATGCTGTTTGGTAGCTATAAAGGATGATGGTGATGGTGATGTGATGAGAACGTGATACAAAAGTAGGAAGGATGACCACCACGATACTAACCTACTCAGCGATGTATCGTCTAAGCCCAATCGAATGGCCAAAGTAGCAAGAGCATCCAATGCACGAGAGCCTTCGGTGGACATTGAAGATTTACTGAATTCGAGAGCATCCAACTTTTCTTGCCACATTGCAGCTGTTTGGGAACACAAAAAAGTTAGCGTAAAAGCGAGGGGGTAGGAGAAGGGACCGGGGAAGGAAGGGGATGTGAAGATATATATCACATATACACATGTTGCATAAACCTTGACGTCATGCAGGTGGTTGTTGTTGATACATTACCTTGCCTCATGTTATCATCACTGATTTGACGCTGTGTTTGCAGTACCAACTCCATGATAGTGTTAGCCTCCTCTGTCTTTTGTTGAAGTTCTTGAAGATCTTGAAGAGACATGTCATCCTTGTCAAGCAACGAAAGTTCAACGGCATCAATCTCCTGTAGCCATCTATCCACCTGATATATAGAATATAGATAGATGTGTGAATAAACGTATGCTGAAAGAAGCTTCCAAAGAACAAAGGGTTGCATCAAGGAAAGGAAAGGGAAGGGTTGTTGTTGTTGTTGCTAACCTGTTCCCAATGCTCTGACGAAGAATCCTCTTCGAAATGGTGTGGTGAATGGTCGTTATCGTCTCGTGGTTCTGACAATGGAGTTGGTGGACGACGATCGGTTGGAATCATGGGTGATTGTGTAAAGTGACAAAGAGAGTTGAGAAACAAAGAGAGGAAAAAGAAAAGCGACAAGCAAAGCAACTGCTCATTTGTTTCAAGGCGGGAAGTAAAGCGTGGTGTCGTTGTTACCGAATCCAGGGACTACTAATTCATACAGCAAATGCACGAATGCATATATAAGTATATACATACAAACATTGCCTTCTACGCGATTATCTTCCGTACACAAGCTGTGGCTGCTAGCATACATATTTCTTCTTTCCGAACCTCTTGAAAGCAGGTGGTCGTTGTTGTGGTTGCTATCCACCCGCCTCCATTAGTGCATGTCGTGAGCCAATAACACCACATGGTCCCATTTCTCTCCGAAGACCCTTCATTTGTTTCATTTGTAAACAAAATACATCAAAACACATGGACAAAGCGGTGAAAGAGGAAAAAGAGGAGGATAGTATGGTTTATGTATTGGTGATCACCATGTGTGCGTGTATAAATGCATTGGTCCCTGGATAAGGGGGGAAGCAGTTACATTCTTTATGCATTGGTGTTGTTGGTGGTGGTGGTGGTGATGCTGCTGCTGCTATTGCTACCATCATTTTATCCCGCTCTTGGCAGTGGCGTCAAAGATACAATGACGACATGGGACAGCAGATTCCGATAAAAAGAATGGTGTTTGGCACTATAAACCTGGTAATAGTGGAAATCAATCAATTACCATTAAATCATGAAATCCGATCTTTACTAGTGTGTTTCACGTCTTCTTAGACCAGCTCTTGTTATCATGATGGCTATTGCAATAAATACCCTTAGCATTGTAGCATATACATCCATGATCAAATAGGTATATGAGCTCGTGGAATAAAGAAGAATCTAATGCAAGACATAATGTCGGATGAACCATTGCTTTGGCGTGCCAGCGATCTGGGTATTGTATCAAACGCAGCAGCAATGACTTGCTTGGAGAGACGATCAGCGGGACCAACGGCGGGGTAAAAGCGGGAACACATATAGGCGCACGTCTTTGGTGCGTATTATGAAAGCAAAAGATGAGTCAGACCATATGAAAAAGGATGAGCTTGGCAAGGACAACGATGTTTGGGGTGTCGACTAACAAAGGAATGGCGGTGGTACCCGAAAGAATGGTACACGACTTGTAGCGTTTTTGGTGGCGATATGTAAAATGTGAGACCTTCCAGGGTGTACCCATAGTGAATGAGCTCACGTGTTAAATGGACACACACATTCTTTAATGTTTGCTGAGGTAAGCCAGCTGCATGCATGCATGCATGTATTCATGACGCAGCGCCGACTCATCATCGTGTCATCGAGATAGCCTCTACCTGATTGTTGTAGCGATGTCGATAATCAAGTTATCATCAAGCTGAATAATCATTCAGCAAGCTAATTACAACAAAAAAGGAATCGTGCATGCATGGATGCGTCATCTCGATTGGACATTGCATGGAAAGACACTGTGTATCCAGAGCACCGGTTAAGTAGACCGCCGACGCGGCACATGGCACACAAAAAAGAAAACGTGGGCATGCGTGGATAATTCTCTCACGTCTTCTCAAATTAAAGCGACACACAAAACTGGAGATGAAAAAGAAGCAACGTCAGAAGAAATAAGCAGTTCATTGTGTGACCCTAAGAGTGGCGTGATGGCGAGAGGGAAAATGCGATCTCAGCAAAAAAGAAAAAAAACGAAGGCGGGGATGTCAGCGGGCTATTATTACACACGAATACTTCCTGTGGAAGAATGACTCGGAGTATAGGATTGCATGAACTCGCCTTTTATCGCCCACTCGCTCAAAAAGGTAGTGCACTACAAAAATAACCTTGCCATGCATTGCACCAACGGTAACAAGTTTGGTGTTCCTCATGTGCGCGCCGAAACGCACAGCCTATTTCCTTCTTGGGTCAACTTGTGCTGCACGTTTTCACACGCAGACAGCTGTATACGCATACTATCAGCTGCCCTATTCTCTCATTGAGAAGAAGAATGAATGGGGAAATGTTTTATGAAAGAAACGTGATGATCATTGGTCCTATTCTTACCACCTTGTGTATGTATACATGGAATGTGGTCCGATGCAAAGCCATTGTGCTGTGTCAGCAGGATCGCTTGATGCCCCGATGATGATGGCGAGACATCTAATAATAAAGTTTCTTTTTTGATGTGAGTCGACAAGAGCTTGTCGCATTTGGGCAACATCCACATATCATTTTGCTGATATAATATGTCAAACGACACTGCTCAGCCCAGCATCATTGATTTGGGTATGCTAAAAAAAGGAATGGATTTTTCTCCTACTATGGGTAGTAATGTTAATAACCTGTTGTTGATGAATCGACATGGGCAAGGGGGGAAAGTAGTAGTTTGGGTTTTCACATGGCACATCGATCTACTGTTTACGGGCGCCAAAAGAAGCTGATATGAAATTAATAAAAGGAAATGACGGAGGAGTATCAGTAGTAACATTAAAGTGGTTCCACTTTGTGAACATGATCCATTATGGGCTGGACCTCCCAAACAAGGCTATGGTCGTTCCCATAGTAAAAATGAAAAAAAGCGGTTGAAACAATGGACATCCCATTATCGACACCCATGATCAAGGTCAATGGGCTTTTGCCAATGGGACCAGACCCTACTTTGTGGAACCTGGAAAAATCGGACGACATGTCTCTCTCCCAATGAACCTTCATATCGGGGAAATGAATGAATTGACACACTTTCATCTGTTGGCTCGAGCGATATCGCCTCATTCTCTCTCCATCCTGTCACTCCAAAGCCTTATATAAAACCAGTCCACTTTGCTGGCTCAATCATCCTCTCTCCCACTCTCCCGTCTTTTTTCTCTTTCCTCCTTTTTTCCTCTCTTTCTCTTCATATCGCTATCCACCACCCCTCTCACTGCTATGGCTTCTGCTTTCTCGGTATCTAGCTTGCTTAATGAGCAGCAACAACAACAGCAACAGCATGATCGATCATCTCGTCGACCACGCCCTGCTGTGCTCGACATTTCAAACTTGCTGAATAATGATATGGCTACACCAACGCTCTCACCTACACGAACACCATCCCCAGTGAGCGTTTCATCAGGTCCAGCAACATCATCTGGATACCCTTTTCCACCATTGCCATCCATTGCAGATACGTTGCCAGGCATGTTGCCACCACTTTCATCGGCGTATCCATCAATGCCAAAGCCATATGAACCTGATTACCAACATCACCATCATCATCATCATGCACATCATAATAGCAATAGTGGTGGTATTGGATTGTGGATGCACGATTCAAGGGCATCATCGGTTTCATCCTTGGCATCCAATGCAAGCAATTGCAGCAGCACTACCAATGAAACCAGCAAATCATTATCACAACAACAACAAGAGCAACATCACAACCATAGCAGTAGTAGCGATGAAGAAGAGCAGGTCTCATCATCAAAACAACAACCTGTCAAAGCGAAACGTAGACGAGCCAATGCCAAGCAACTTGAAGTTTTGAATCGTGTGTTTGAGCGCACAGTCTTTCCATCGACTCAATTGCGCGCTGAGTTGGGCCGACAATTGGGTATGAGCCCAAGAACAGTCCAAATCTGGTTCCAGAACCGCCGTCAAGCTATTCGCACACGAGAACGTCAACGTTTACTTCGCATCGTTCGTGATGACCAACAAGTCTCGTCTCCTTCATCAACGTCTTCAAGTGACTAATAGCCCATGATTTTCATTATGCCCTATGGCGCGGGTCCCCTTTCTATCCTTTTCCTTCTTTTTCATATGCTGAGCATATTCCTTTCATTATCATTTTCACCATCACACAACGAATAACCATCCAATCCCTCTCACTCCCCTTTAAACACCATGTTCCTAAAAAGCTTTGGGCTTCTCATTTTCTTATTTCCATCGGCGACGCCCAACTTTGTATCACCCAAACCGCTCTTTGTATGCTCTACTTTCTCGTATGGTTTTTTTGTACACATTTCACTCGCACGCACGCACGCACACCGCATTCTTCCGCTGGCTGGAAAAAATCAACCGCACACACAACCAAACTTTCCATTGTTTCATACCTGACTTTTTATTTCATTGTACACCTGCTCTCACATGTGTTTGCCACTTTTTACCTAGAACTTTCATGTTTTGCTTTTATCTATTTTGACGTTTCTAATATCTAAAAAATAAAAAGGCGAGCATCCCCATTCAACATCATCATCATCCTACCATGGCTGCGGATCGGAAGCGGGGAGTACAAGACCTGAGTAATGTGGTATAACATTTGCACATTGGTACTTGCTCGAAACAATGTAAATAGCCTAATGAGGTCATCTGCATGCATGCACCCGTATACATGATAGCAAAATGTTACCATACATGACTTTTGCGACATTATCCCGATACGGCTAATGCACTCACTGTATGACCATCCCAATCATTTGTTGCAGCTGCTGAATGCTTGCAGCATTGTCTCAATGGTAATAAGAAGCTTGTGTGTCCTTGTTGTTGTGGTCATGTCACACACACATACACACACAACATAAACATTCATTCATTCAACAACAACAACTATGTTATCTCATGCCGCCAACTACGTAGGATGCATTGCATCTACACACTCAAAAGAAGAACCCTTTCCTTTTCTTTATCTCCCTCATTGAACGTCACGGGTGCAACAACCGCCAATTGCGCGAGCGCGCGGTAAAGAGGTTCGATTTTTCCATCGACCAAATTGGGAACAATGCCCGAGAATCATAGCCAACCGCGGGTTGTGGGTGTGGGTTTTGATATTAAGAAAGTTGGATAGATGTATTTTTTTGTTGGTTTTAGAATTTACACAGGACACGTTGATATATACAGAGCGACCACTAAAGTAATAAAAAAGGGATAGGGGGAAAAAGGGATAAGGGGAACATGGCGAAATACTTTTTTTGTTGTTTTGGTTGTTGTTGTTGTAGTAGGATTGATTAACGGCGTTTAGGGGCTGTAGCTTTTGGTTTGTGATAGACATGGCACTGTAAATAAAGATCCATGTTAGGAAAAGCCAATCATTCAATGAATCCAAAGTGACTGATCGTTACCTTGTGGGCATGACGATACCATAGTACGCTATTTTTCCTCTTGACATTGCTGACGGATACCCATTGATAGCATTGATGGCACAAGCCCTCCACCAAATCTTGGTCAACCCAGCGTGTTTCGAGTGGTTGCATGAATTCTTGACCCGAGACGGATGAGATACCATGGAAGAATTGCTTGTGATACCTAAAAGAAAGAATGTATTAGGAACATGCCAAGTGTTGTGTTCTGATTTTCACTTACCAAAAGGCGCTATTCTTGAGTTGAAGCCATTTGCCAGGTTGACATGTATCACATAGACCTTCCTTGGCTTGACCATTGTAACGGACCCATTTAGGTGTATACTTGTCTTCGGGATAGCGTAATTTTTGTCGACGTGGACGAGCTTCAATATCCATTCGTGCAGCTTCAATGTCTTTGAGGGACATGTCAGGGAAATCGGGATCACCAGGTTCGACAGCATTGGCCATATCATCTTCATCAAGCTCTGTACGTGCCTTTTTGCGCTTGGTAGGTGCTCTTGGTGGTGCAGCAACCGTAGCTCCAGAAGTAACGGAATAAGCAGGATGATGAGGGTGATGTGCAGGAATGACACCGTCCATAGGCATAGGCAAGGGGAGTTTTCCAGCATAGGGATGGTGTTGATAATAATAGTGATGTGGTGGTGGCAATGGAGGTAAAGCTTGATGATGAGAAGGGGATGGGGATGGCGATGAAGAAGAGGACGAAGAGGAAGGTGGCATATGTGGAGGTGGATAAGGGTGATATGAAAAATAAGGTGGAGGTGGTGGAGGTGGATGATGAGCTTCCATATGAGCGAGATCACGTTTTTGACCTGATACAGCATTATCATCAGCAGCGGATGAGGACGAAGATGATGTAGGTGTTGTAGTCCGTGCCAGCGGATGAATACCACCCGTCAAAGATGTCTCAGAACCAGGAGGTGGTGGATGTGGTGGAGGAATAGGATATTCACCATGAACAACCACATAAGGGGAACCTGGATGATGATGATGGAAAGGATGATCACCCGCCATCTTGTAAAGTGCAGTTGCAGGCATCCACATACTACGACCAGCGGCAGCAGCAGCAGCCACCAAAGAAGATGCTGAGGATGAAGATGCTGAAGACAATGAAGATGTGGTGGTGGAAGCATCTTGATATCGTTCAACAAAGGACTCAGGCATATCAGCCCATGACATGCCAGCATGGAAAGAATGGCGACGAGGGCGATGTGAGCAAGTATCGGAATCAATTGACATTCGATCATCATTTTCTGATTGCAGTGTGTGAGAAAAAGGGAAGATTGAACACACGTTTCATGCGCATAAATTACCATGATCATCCGCCATTTGCTTGGATTCCACCTCCTCACTTGCTGGAGTACTAGTAGCAGTAGCAGGCGTAGCAGGCTGTCGATTAAGGTTGGCAAGTAGCATAGCAGCTTCAATCGAATTACGATGTCGTGAAAGATGCAAACTAAGCTTAGCTTGTGCTTCATCATCGAGTCCTAATGGCACACCAAGGATAGCAGGGCTACTCTTTCTCTTTGCAAACACGCATGCCGGGATCTCATTTTTGGTGGTGCCACTCATCATGCTACTGTTTCCAGGACCTGCTGGTGTTGGTGGTGTTGTTGTTGTTGCTTGCTGTGATGGGCCTGATGACTTCTCGGGACTCGTTGCAAGTGGCGTAGAGTGTGGCAAACTTGCTAGAGGTGGCAAAGAAGGTGCTTTGGACTGCTCTTGCACCAGATGAGAGGATGCATAATGATGGGCCAAGTGAGCAGGATTGTCTTGAGGACGATGAAGAGGTGGCGGTGGTGGCAAGTGCTCTTGAACGTCCATGTTGAGAAGAGAGATGACAAAACAAACCAGATGAGGGAAGCAAGCAAGCACAAAAAGGATAGGGCTGGTGGAGCGCGTGCGCGTGCTGAAAGAGAAGAGAGATAGAGAGAAAGCCCACAGCGAAAGAGAGAGAGAGAAGTGGAATACAGGAACGACTGCCTTGAAAAAGTTTTCTTCTTCCTGCAATGCCCGCTTCATATCATTGGACGACACATTCAAATTTTCTAATGATGGTTCGACACTTGCATCATTTCAACACATGCACAACATCTCTTTTCACTCATTCATCATCCTCAGAGTCGCTCTTGTATGTTTGATTGTCAATAAAACTATTTCACTTGGGGTCGATCATCGCTGAGTCATGCAAGATCGTTCATGACGCTTTATGCATGAAATAGAAAACCAAGCCCAGCTTGATCCCTTTTTTCGCTTTGCTTTATTCCCCTCTTTTGCCATCCATTACTGCCCATCTCCATTCTATCATTCTATTCTTATCGACATCTTGCTCATATTCATTTTCTTTTTGCTCTTTGTCTTTTGACCTTTTCATCTATTCAACCCGACACCCCCATGCAACCGCTTACGCACATCTAAACATGGTTCATACCCCGCTATTCGAAAAAGCATGTGCAATCTGCAGTCTCCACACGTACACACACACACACATCAACCAATGCCCGCCCTTCATCAATCTCCCAACGACATGTACCTCCTTGTTTTCCAACATCCATCTTGCTTTACTTTTGGTATAGAGTAGCCGGTGTAGTGTCAACTCTTATGTCACTTTTATGCATATGAATGGATACTTCAGGCACCAACAGCAGGATTGAGAGACGAGATGTCCATGGTTACACATGTCGATTGTCCAACATACATTGCTTTAATCACGAATTGGATTTTACTGACACAACAGCGCGCACTCACTGGTTCAGGAACAAGCTTTCTTTTTGACATGATTCTCAATGGATCGATAGAATGATTCATGCATTCATTGTCCCTATAATGCATAATATCGGAAATTTTTACTCGATATCTTTGTTCCCCAATTCGTTCATCAGCACTCTCCTTTTCCCTTTTTCTCTTGATATCCAATGACACAAGGAGTACGACCCTCACCCTTCCCACGCCGATCTGTCAGCAGCGTCGCACCATTTACTGTTAAGCGTAAACAAGTCAACTATGAAGGCTTGGAGATGAGCAGGTAACAACTTTGACAATGAAAAAAGAGGGAGGGAGAGAGAGAGATGGTGATGATGCAGCATCATCATTACCATGCATTGTGGGAGGGTTGTACCATATACAGGCATGGCATGGCTGATTTCTAGTCTAGCTCACAGTGTTCCCTGGCAAGCCTGTTACACAAAAATGACCCATCACCGGCAACTCCAGGGACAGTAAGCTTATTCATGGCGCACACACCATAATCACATTTACCCATTCAACCCATATATGTATATAGAATCCTGAATCATTAATGCGTAACATTATCGAAAGCAAGTCGGTGGCAGAAAGCAATGCCAAGATACAACAATTAGAGGTCCGTAAACATAGCCTGCAATCCTTGAAAACGTATACTCATTAAGCTGGATACTTTTACTAGAAAGATCTAAAGCAAGCCACGGGAGAGCAAAAGAAATGGAGGCACAAGTGCAAGCTCATGGAAAATGAACGTAAGGAATATGAAGCATCTGTAAAAGGTAATACGTGTCTTGTTTTGCAAAGCCGATGCGAAAGCTCACGTGCCAATGATAGCCCAATGTGAGAGCGATAAGGAATTACTAAGGACAGAGCTAAAGGCTGTAAAAGAGGCACACGTGGATAAGGTCCAAGAATTGTCATGCTCAATTGCACGTTTGCAACGCAAGGTAGCCGCTCTTCAAGACGTGTTGAAAGAACACAATATCACTCAAGGTAATGATTTGGCATGTTTATTTCCACAACATGGGTTGTTCACCCTGTACATATACGTAGAGCCATGTACCGACGATGAAGCTATTGATACCATGTTGATCAACCGAGAATGCAAAGACGATGCCGAATTTATCAAAGTGAGCGAGAAACGAACAGAGAGAGAGAGAGGACATTGGCATACTGACCAATGCCTATCTATATATATAGAACGCGTACAATGATGCTAGATCAAGAAATTATGGCGTGAGTCGTGAACAATGGACCAATATTCAAGCCATGACCTATGCATTAAGGCATGAAGTTGATTTATTTCAAGCATGGCGAGCGGCTGCTTCGGTGCCTGTGGAAGAATTGGCACGTCTTATGCGTGAAGAAGACAAGTCATCTGCTCACCATAGTGGCGTTAGTGCCATTCGGAAAACATTATTTGGACGCAAAGGGTCTGGAAAACGCAAATAAATGGGTTGTAGCATAGGGTCGTTGCGAGATCAAGAGTGCGTGTGTGTGTGTATGATTCAATTTTGCATGAACGCCATACGGGTTTCAACCCCGCGAATAAATGCAAGGTATGGCTGCTGAATGCAAAATGATCGAGGAGAGGGGTAACACGCATTGTTGATGAATCTCAGCATGATGGATAATAGAGGAACAAGTCATTTATAAAGCAACAGATTCTTTATCAAAGGAGAAACCAAGTGGTTGGGTGGGGGGAGGAGGTGGTGGAGGAGGAGGAGGAGGGGAGAATGGTAGTGGTGTTGTAGTAATATCGAGGTCCCAGGTGTCCGATTGTCATAAGACCCATTCATGGAATGTTGTTGTTGTGCGTGTACGTATGTGTGTGTGAGAGAGTGTGAGTGAATACTATCTATATACATTGCATATGGCTGGGGGAAGGAGGAGGTCAATTATCATTGTGGCAAGCTCTCATCCTTTGGTGGTGGTACCTTTCTCTCTTTTCTTTCACTCACAATACCTATCTTTATACCTTTTTCCTTTTTACCACTGCTCTTTCTTCACCTCTTCCAATTGGCGACATGTCTTTTCGCAATCGACCTCCCTCGTCCATGGCACAGCGACGATCGATGAAGGGCAAGATTGGTGGGTACCTGAAACGGACCACGATGGCTTCATTGGCAACACTGGCCGAGCAGTTTGGAAACATGCGACCCTATATTCGAGCGTCAGCAAGATCCAGCGCAAGTCGAGAGGCAACGTTTCCATTACCAAAAGAATCATCCACCACCACCAACACCAACGACAGATCCAGTATGAGTTGTACAACCATCACCACTCCCATTGATGAAGGATTCCATCAGACACAACAAAAAGTCGCAGCTATGGATTCATGGATAGTGTGTGATACAACAACAAAAACGAGTAAGGCATGAGCAGATTTCTTCTTCTCTCCTTTTTCTATATGCTCCCTTCTTTAACCAACAAGATGGTGATGTTGATAGAAATAGACCTCTTGAGCCGGATGCCCGTCGAGATACTACGATCCATCATCCAATGTTGCGATTACAAGACCGTATTGACATTGAGCCTGGTGTCTTGGCATTGGTATCATCTTTCAGTGGATAATGCGATATGGCGACAATTGTATTTGGGACACCCAGAATGGATTCCACAGCAACAAATCACCACGTCATCATCATCATCATCATCGTCGCCTTGGAAACGACATGATCCCAGTGTGGATTATCGACATGTATACAACCAACGATTTCAACTGGAACGACGATGGGTCACAGGGGATAAGCGGATGTTGACAATCCTTGGTCATGCTGACAGCATTTACTGCGTACAATTTGATGCACAAAAGATCGTTACCGGCAGCCGTGATCATACTATCAAATGCTGGGATATGCAAGGTCGTTGTGTACGCACATTGGTTGGTCATACTGCAAGCGTATTGTGCCTCCAATATGATACCCATTGCATGGTGTCTGGATCATCCGATCATTCGGTTCTTGTTTGGGACATGCATACTTTTCGCCCTATCCAACGCTTACTTGGTCATACTTCAGGTGTTCTTGATGTTGCATTGGATGATTCAATCATTGCGAGTTGTTCAAAAGATACCACCATTCGTCTTTGGAGTCGTCAAGAGACTCGCCATTTACGTACACTTCTTGGCCATCGTGGGCCGGTGAATGCTATTCAATTCCGTGGATCGCGCCTTGTTTCAGCTTCAGGTGATGCTGTCATCAAACTTTGGGATATGAACACTGGTCAATGTTTGCGGGACTTTGTGGGTCATACACGTGGACTTGCATGTATTCGATTCGATGGGAAACGTATCGTCAGTGGAAGCAATGATTTCAAAATCAAAGTATGGGACGCAGGTAAGTGTAACGACAACCTCTCTCTTGGTAGTACATATGACTTACATGTTTCAATACCAATATAGAAACGGGTCAATGCTTGCAAACTTTGACAGGTAAAAGAGTTTCATCCTACTATGGAGCATCACAACTCATTCTTGATGTAGGCCATACCGGATTAGTGCGTGCTTTGCATTTCGATCAAGATAGGGTTGTCAGCGGTAGTTACGACCAAAGCATCCGAGTTTGGGATATAAATACTGGAGCATTATTGCATCACTTTGAAGATTGTCATTCGAGCTGGGTGTTTGATGTCACTTTTGATAAAACCAAGATTATCAGGTACGTACATTTCTATCACTGACAGCATACACACACACACACACACACTCACGCATAGACCACTTTTTTATGTATCGTGTAGCACAAGCCAAGACCAAAAGATACTCATCATGGATTTTGCATACAATCTTGATACCCGCCACATTATTTGAGCATGTTTTTATATACCTCTTTGACTCCATACACATATATACACACATTGTCCTCCATCATCCTCCATCATTCGCATTCACATTAAAATGAACATCAATCAACATCAAGGGAAAGAAAATGCAAATCTGTTTACAAGTACAAACAAAGGGATTATGCAGAGGGAGGGAGGGATGGATGGGGATTAGAGGGATAATAGGTAATCAGTAATCTCCATTTGTCCAAACTTGTAATCGCTCATTAAAGTAGGTCTCGAGTCGGTTGGCACAACGCCCATAGTTGGTATGCTCGCCATTGTAGAGACGACAGTTGTCGAAAATCTTTTGAACGTCCGTGACAAATTCGTCCATGGTAATGTATTGATCCTTCTCCACATTCTCTTCGAGTTGAGTCAAGTCTACAAAAGCATGGTGAATATACGCAGGCTTACATGATAATGCCTTCCTTACCCATGGGCTCCTTAATAATATCGTAATAGTCGATGACTTCATCCGCATTGACGGCTTCAACAAACGGCCAAGCATGCGCGTGTGATCGTAGTTCGGATACTAAATGTCGCATTTGATTGTAATGGGGTGGATGTCGTGGTCGATTGGATCTTTATAACAAAAGTAAGTAAGCACCCATACGCATCCCATTTCTCTACATCCACTTACATCACATCCATCTCGGGGGTCCAACCAGATTCACCTATAAAAAACCAATCTCGTTAAAACTTGCTGCCACATGATGATCAAACTGCTTATTTTACTTACGCACGCCAGGTACATCTAGCGGATCAATACGCCGTTTTCCATCTTCACCCACCGGCATATCAATACCATCGTATATGACATAAGATGATGAATTCTCCTTGATCTTCTCTTGCACTGCCTTCTTTTGCATGGTCAACGTTTCCTTTACACGACAATATTCAACCTTGGGGACCATTGTGCACTATGAAAAGAACGATACATATATCATCCAAGGCCATTTTCTCATCCTCTATTAAACGTACCTGCATGATTGTTCCTCCTTCATAATCCTTGATGTATCCCACCCATTTCCTCCGATCCAACGTGATCTCTGTCGTAAATCCCTACAATGCAAAAAGGTGTGTTACCATCCACACATGAATCTCTCCCCCAATTCATTCCAATGCTTACTTGTTTCCTAAAGTATCCAATGGCATAATTGTCGGCGTATGTCAAAAAGTGCATCATGTTGGTGTTTTGCTTGATATAATCCTTGAGATGGTTCATCAAATAAGAACCGTAGCCCTAATATTCAATAGATGAGACCCATTTCCTCTCTTCTTGATTTCCTTCTGTACCTTGACTTGCTCTGTGGATGCAATAGCACAAAACACAATCTCTGCAAACTCCTGGCTCTCGAACGGCCTATAGCAGATCCCTCCAATAATCTTCTTCTCGTCACGTACTAACGCCATAGTCAAGTGTGCCCTAATGACAAAAAGTAGATCAGCTTTTGTATATACCTACTACTCCCACCTCCAACCGTCATTCTACAATAAAGAGGCACACACGTTACCTGTCATAAATAAGTCGGCCAATGTATTCTTTGGGCATTTTGGGTAGTTGCTTTTGAAAGATGTTCTTGAGATCGGTCAACAACTTCATGCTCTCTGGTCGACCATCGTTTTGAACGACCTTGGTCCTAATGTTGCTTGCTACTTCTTCTGGCATGGGTCGAGCTAGTGCGAACAAGGAATGGTGTAAAAGGAACGGTGGCAGCAGCAAGTAGAGGCGTGCGTGTGCGTGTGTGTATGTGTGTGTTGTGTGAAGGAGAAAAGAGAACGGCAAACCACAGCGTTTTACTACTACTACTCTAACACCTCTACTTGTGTGTATGTATGTTTGAGACAACGGCAGCTACTACCAGCAAAGGTTGACACATCCCCTTCCCTTCCAAGATTGCTTCAACAAAGGACATAGGGACCATGGCATGATAGCTGGAGTCTTCTTTAACATTGTGTATGTGTGATCCTCAAGGACAACATCGAGCGTAGGTGGCACGGACCAGATCTCAAGGCACACTTTTGAACTTGCTGTTTACAACGTTATACATACCCATTGGCATGGTGAAAAATAGCACACAAGTATAGCGAAGATGCATATAAATATGATCAAACTCCTTATAGTCATCAATAAAGAACAGTGCAAGATACGTGCATCTTGGAAAAGAAAAGATAATATACCAAACCATCATCATCTTCAATTAATTAAGAGAAGGTACAAAGCAGGTGCAAGCTGGCTATAGATGACCAATCGTAAATGCATCAAGCGAAAGATATACACTTTATTATTGTAACAGCGTTGCCATTGGCAACAAGGCACTCGTTGCTGGTGTCACATCACAACTACCACCATACAAAGGTGTTACATGGCAACGGTATTATTGTAACTATGATACGATGATGGACGTGTTGAACCTGGTAAGTAGGCTGTGTGTCATGAGAAGGTCACTCAATTGGAATGGACAAAGGCAGTTGGATCATGGGGCCAGGTGATGGATGGACTGTGCACGCGACTTGAAACATTGACCACCATGTAAACTCACATCTTGTGCTACAACATCTGTTTTCTTTATATTTACATTTCATTTCTTTCTCTCTCTCTTCCTCTTTCTTGTTTTCATCCACCTCTAATGGATCCTCGTACTTGGTCTCGTGATTATTGGAAGATTGCAGCTGCCACTGCTGCTACAGCAAGTGTGCTCCTTTATGCCATCAAGACTAGCAACAATGCCAAAAGACGACAAAAAGATAACATCCCTTCACCCCCAGGCTGGTTGCCGTTCTTTGGTAAGTGTCTTTTTATTCACAATGTATGAATGAGATAGCTAATGGGTATGGTATAGGTCACATTCTATCCATCAACACCGAAATGCCGGCATACACATTCAAGCAATGGCACGTAGATCACGGTCCTGTCTTGAGAGTCAACTTGGGTGCACAAGAATGGGTCATGGTGAGCGATACCGATATCCTTCATGAGCTCTTGGTGCATAATGGTGCGGCGTCTTCAAGTAGACCCTTTGTCAACTATTCTTCAGGACATTATGCTCTCAACAAAAAGTAAGCAGTCGTGTGTGAATGCATATCCATAGTGTCATTTTGCTAATAAGGATCCGATTTTTATTAGAGGCATCGTTCTTTCAGACGCCAACAAGAAATGGAAAAGCTTAAGATCTGCTGGTAAGCATGGATGATGACAACAACAACAAGGAATATGAATGAATGAGTGGTCTCATTGTTACATGTATGTATGCATGCAGCCCTTACTATCTTGTCCCCCAAAATGGTGAATGAATACAGCAACGTGCATCTTTCTGAGGCCGACATGTTGGTGGATGAATTGATCAAGATTGGTGGCGAACCTCAAGGCATTTATCCCGAGAAGCTGCTGAAAAAGACATCTCTCAACTATGTGCTGGATACTTGTTTTGGCATGCGTGTCCCATCAACAGAGGATCCCTATTTCAAGGCAATCAACACATTCATCGATGAAGGTCTCGTTCTCGGTGGTCCTCACAACGACCTGGGCGCCATCTTCCCTGCTTTATCATTTGTGGATAAGTTGCTTGGACGTGACAATATGTTTCGGACATTCATCAGAGAGAAGCGTGATCCATTATTCAATCCCATGATCAAGCAAGCCGCTTCAGGAGACCGTGATTGTTTAATCAAACGACTTGTTGACAACAAGGAAGAATATGGCCTTGATGATGATGATATTCTTGTGGCTGCTTGTATGTATTTTCTCGGGGTGGGCGGGGGGGGAGGAGAGCAATAAGCACCTTTACTTATTCATCCCTTAGCTGACCTAATTACTGGAGGCACCGATACCACTGCCATCACACTTTCATGGATCATTGCCATTCTTGTGAACCATCCTGATGCTTGCAAGCGTATTGCGCGGGAGGTGGACGACTTCATCAGTGAACATAAACGATACCCGGTGTTTTCGGAACGATCTCATTTCCCTTTCCTCAATGCCGTTCAAAAAGAAAGCATGCGTTATCGATCCATTGGCCATTTTGTGTTCTTCCACGTGCTTGACAAAGATAGTAAGCGATCGATGTTTGCTTGAAGAGAGACATTGAGATGATTAACATGGCCTCATATTATAGTTCAGACCCATGGTTATCTTTTCCCCAAAGGTTCATGGATCTATCCTTCAACATACACCATCCACACCAACTCTGATATTTATCCTGATGCCGACAAGTTTGTGCCTGAGCGATTTCTGGAAGACAAAAAGACAATGGCCGCTGCTACCAATAGCAAACCTGGAGAACGTGATCATTATACATTTGGCTTTGGTCGACGCGTATGTCCTGGTATTCATTTGGCAAGTATACAAACAATCCTTTCATCATGTCTATGTTTCATTGTACTCATACATGTGGTTGTTTTAGGCTGAGGTCGAAATGTTTAATGTCTTGGTGCGTATTTTCGCTCGATGCACATTAGAGCCAGCAAAAGATGCTCAAGGAAAGCCAATGCTACCGGATCTGGATGCTCCACGCGATGGCGGCATTACTGTACTCCCACCCCTTTATCAAGTACGCTTTATCCCTCGAGTAGATGCTCTCATTTAGACTACCCTTTCCTTTAGTTGTTGTTATATACTTGATCCTATAATATAATGCTACGTTTCTATACAGCTGCTTTGATGTAAATTGGTGGCTCACTTATTGGGCAACTTTGCCGAGAAGCTATTATTTGTACCGGCAATTTTAGTCACTGAGCTCTTACCTTTATAGTCAAAGCGTTGATGAGATTGAAAGAATCGACCACTATCGTCGATCGATAGTAACAATGGCCAACCAAACCCCTTGGTGACGTTCCTCATTTGGATAACAACGACTTGTCCACGTGAATAATGAACATCGTCGGTGTCAAATAACTTTGGACCCTTGTTTTGAGTGGCAACAACCCAATGAGCTATCAATGTTTCTTTATGTCAATTTATAAATGGACTCAAGGTGGCGTTCTTATGGGGGGTTGTTGTTCATGATTTCAAAAAAGATCAGGTGTCATGTGATGTCAAGCTCATTGTATGCAAGGACAACCACCATCCAACGGTAACAATGAGTCAAATGTGTTTCGGGCAGATTATGCAAATCCCGCACGCGGATCCAGACGATAAAGGTAACCAAAAGTGATTCATCCAACAACAAGCCTTTCCAAACAGAGATGCGTAACCGATCTTTACTCGATCATGTTTGTGAAGGAAGCATAGATGACGTTGTACATGCGTGACCGCACGAGTCGCAGCAGCAACAGCAGCAGCAGCAATAAGAGTGTGAATGAAAGGTGTGTGAAGCTGCTCTTTGTATCGAGCGGGCCCCAAGTTCTTTGAACCTTTTTATTTCTTCTTCTCTTTTCCTCTTTACACATTGTCTATTTTTTACTCCTCCGCATACTCTTGTCATGGATAGTGCCAATCTCTTAGCCCATTCTCTTTCTCCTGGTAAGCCATTCAAGCATAGCATCGATCCTGCCGATCCACTTGACACTTGTTGACAAAATGTCGTCATAGATCGCACCCTTCGCGAAGAAGCTACTCAGCAATTAGAACGTTTCGCGCAAGAGAACTATGTAAGCTGAACCACTTGGCTTTCCAAGCAACGATAGATCAGTGTAGCTCATGTGTGTCTATGTGGTGGTATCCTTTAGGCGTCCTATGCAAATGTATTGATTCAGCAGCTTACAAACACCGATGGAGATCCTGCTATTCGCATGGCTGCAGGTCTAGCGATCAAAAACAGTTTATCTGCAAAGGTAAATGAAGGAGGATAAGAGTGGATCGATGATCTTAACACTATGTTGTAAAGGAATACGCACGTAAAGAGGAGCAAGCAAAAAGATGGTTGGCATTGGATGAGAACTCAAGAGCTCAAATCAAGCAAGGGGTAAGAAACGTTTGACATTATGGATGGATGAAGCATGAATCATGTATTCATTGATTGAGTATCTCTAGGCCCTTTTATCACTAACTGCAACAACAAAACAAGTCGGGAGGATTGCAGGACAGGTGATCATATGATCCCTTCATCTTAGTACAGGGCACAATGACTGATGGATGATTCGCTCATTGTAGGTGATAGCAGCGATTGCCGAGATTGAACTTCCGATGGGACAATGGCCCGACCTTATTCGCCTCTTGTTGGACAATGTTACTGGTACCGATAACGCGGATCTCAAGACGTCCACCTTGGAAGCTATTGGTTATGTCTGTGAAGCTACGGTAAGCTTGTGGTCAATGATAAGGCTCTTGTATTTATGATCATTGACATGTATTTTAGAACCCCATTGTTCTCGCGGCTCAATCAAATGAAATCTTGACTGCTGTTGTCCAAGGTGCTCGCAAGGAGGAACAAAAGTAAATCAAAATCAAAAAAAGGAGAAGAGGGATGGTTATCTAGATTGCTAACATCATCTTTGTGTCAATGTAGCTCAGAAGTTAGACTCGCAGCTCTTCGTGCCTTGATCAATTCTCTCGAATTTGTGAGAAGCAATTTCGAACGTGAGGTAGGATGATATCTACTTGGGAAAATGGCGGCATTCTTATCTTTCGGTGATAGGGGGAAAGGAACTTTATCATGCAAGTAGTCTGTGAGGCCACCCAAAGCGAATCAGAAGAAGTTACAGAAGCAGCGTTTGAATGCCTTGTTCGAATCATGCAACTCTACTACGACAAGATGCAGTTTTACATGGAGAAGGCGTTGTTTGGGGTAAGGTTATATGGAGTATACATTTGAAGGACAACATACTGATAGTAGTTACAACCTTATTTTAGCTCACTGTTGCTGGTATGAATCATTCAGAGGAGAAGGTTGCTCTTCAGGCTATCGAGTTCTGGTCTACAGTATGCGAGGAAGAAATTGGTTTAAAGGAGGCGGCACTTGAGGTATGTAAATGTGGTGATGGAGAGATATCCATGACTAAAGTTGAATCCTCTAGGCTGTTGAATTTGGTTTGACTCCCGAGCGCAACTTGTACAATTTCGCTGAAGCTGCCATGAACGATGTACTTCCGGTGTTACTGTGGCTATTGACCAAGCAAGAGGAGGATGCCGATGAGGATGAGTGGAACGTATCCATGGCTGCTGCAACATGCCTTACATTATACGCTCAGTGTGTACGCAACGCCATCATTGGACCCATTGTGCCATTTGTGGAGAGCAATATACAAAATACCGATTGGCATTATCGTGAAGCAGCTGTGATGGCGTTTGGATCGATTCTTGATGGCCCTGATGTAGCAGTCATTATGCCGCTTGTCGACCATGCACTACCAACACTCATTGGCATGATGACCGATCCTATGGTACAAGTCAAGGATACCGTTGCTTGGACGTTGGGAAGGGTCTGTGAAATATTGATTGGTTGCATCAAGCCTGAGATACATCTTCGTGAATTGATTTCGGCACTTGTACTTGGTCTGCAAGATAATCCTCGTATCGTTGGAAATTGTTGCTGGGCATTGATGAATCTGGCAGAGCAAACCGGACCGGCAATCGGCAACGATACGCCTACGTCTCCTCTCTCCATGTACTTTGAAGACACTACCAAGGCTCTCTTACAATTTACGGAGCACGCGACAAATGAAGCCAATGGTAGAACATCAGCCTATGAAGCCACATCGTCCCTCGTCATGTTCTCAGCTAATGTAAGTGATTCAAACCCTGTTTGTCTTACGAGCGATGATTAATCTCTGTAAAAAGGATTGTATCTCCATTGTTGAACAAATTGCGCTCACTATCCTCGATCGATTGGAAGCATCCATTGCTATGGAGGTATGATGCTGTATACAATCATTCGACCTGTTGCATGCATATTGATAATAACGTTATCATAGAATGAACTTGTTGGTGCGGATCAACGTATAGAACACAATGAATTACAATCGAATCTTCTTGGTCTCCTTACAGTGAGTATGACAAACCAATCAAGCGGCACATGTTAATTGGATCTTTTGTAGAATTGCATACGCCGTTTATCAAAGAACATCATGTCGATATCGGATCGCATCATGACAGCTCTTTTGCAACTTCTGAGCAACGCATCGAAGCAATCGACGACAGCTGAGGATGCACTTTTGGCTGTGGGTGCCATGATCAACGCCTTGGAGAATGACTTTGTACGATACGCAGAACCTTTTATGCCAACTTTATACACAGCCCTCCAAAATACGGCCGAATACCAACTTTGCTCCATTGCTGTTGGCCTTGTTGGCGACCTATCCCGAGCACTAGGTGAAGTCATCACGCCATATTGCAACACATTTATGCAGCTACTTGTTGCCGATCTACAGAGCCCAACACTACATCGCGCCGTCAAACCCAATATTCTATCATGTTTTGGCGACATGGCTCTAGCCACCAATGACAAGTTTGAACCCTACCTTGACGTGGTCATGGTTGTTCTCCAACAAGCTGGCAGTATGCGTTCTGCAAAGGACAACTATGAAATGATTGATTATGTCAACACTTTACACGAAGGCGTGATTGAAGCCTATGTCGGCATTGTTCAAGGATTTAATGGTACACAAAAAGGTACGGGTTTTCTTTATTCGATGCACCTGTCATGAGACTTACACGTATAACTTAGTGGGAAATCTTCTCCAATTCATGCCAAGCATATTCCAACTACTTCATGATGATGCACAAGATATCCATCGTTCGGATGACCTTACGAGAGCCATGGTTGGTTTGATAGGCGATCTTGCAGACACCTTTGGTCCCCAGCTGAAGCAACTGTTACAAACGGATTGGGTTATGCATTTGATTCGAGAGGCCAAGACCGATCGCCATTATGGGATAACAACCAGAGAAACCGCACGTTGGGCCAAAGAGGTATGTGTGATAATCAAATCGTGTTTTGACATCATTTCAACTTACACTATGATTTATACAAAGATGGTCAAACGAGCAATCCAGTAGGTCGCCTTTTCACATAGCTCTCTTCACAACATGTAATATACTTGAATTCCCCTGTTTACTTACCCTTCTTCTTCACCTGCCCATATCCCTACCCTTCAATACTCCAACCCACCCATACAGAGCACTCTCCCACCATTCACCCGCTTTTCCATAACACAATAATCCTGCATCCATTGTCATTTCCCCCTTGATTCCCTTCCGAATGAAACTCATATACACGTCCATTATATTATACATTGTTAAACAATGATGATTTTATTGCATGGAGAACACGCTGAAGAGAACATCGATAGACTTGAAAAAATGACCCGACGTGGTGAGCACTGGAAATCGTTGAACAGTCTTGAACATGCGATGGCCATCAAACGTGTGAGTGTTGTTGTCAACGGAGCGATACGCTTATTTGGATCTGGCTCTCATCTTTTTTCTCTTGGCCTTGAGACGTCTTTGTCTTTTCTTTCTCCATTTACCTCTCACTGTTAAATCAAAAGAGGTGAATTAGTATGCGATGAAAATAAATGATGGAATGGATGAATGGATGAATGGATGGGCATGTGGATGGATGAATGAGTGGATGGATGGATGGGTATATCAAAGGATGGATGGGGTGGTGGTATGGATGAATTGGTAGGCTGACTTACTCTTGAAATTAGACGATTAGAGAAGGGAGGAACAGCGAGGATCACAGGTGTGAGCTGGTTTTAAGTTGGCTTACGAGCTCAGACATGGTCACACTTTTTTTACACATATACACGCATCTGAGCTTGTCTCATGACCCGCTCTATTATAAACGTGCGGGTGCATTTTTCGCGTAAAGCCATACGGCATGCTTATAGGACAATGGTATTCACTAGTGTCGTATTGCTGGCATTAGCATGAAAAGTCTTTTTTGTTTGCCTATGGACTGTCTTCTTTGAAAAAAGCAATCCCAAGACGTCACCGACTCCTTCCGATCCACTTGTATGCAAATGACCACAAGGCATTTTTTCATTACACTGATCCAACCTCGCTCTCTCACACGCATAAGAGTATTCTCACATGAACGTATACAAGCATAGGCATGTGACCATATTAAACATGTACAGTGGCGATAGCAACATGGGATCATTGTGATGATGCAGCGGCGGCTCTTGTCATTGAAAAGATGTTTTCATCTCTCTTTTCAAGATGAGCGTGGCATTCGAGCAATCCTATTTGTCAATCTGCTTGAGGCGCGCATCTATACCAAACTACCTCGTGGTGCAACGTTGCACGTAAGCCACCCAATCCAAAGTCGTTTTCTGGTTCTGCGGTGTATCACTTTAATCCTCGAACCGAAAAAAGAAAAACCTTCTCTTCTCTTTCGTTTACACCTCTTGTTCTTTTTCTTTATCCAATGACCCGTTTGCATCGAGTAGCAGCAGCTGGCATTGCTTGCTTGGCATTTGCGGGTATTCATGTCACCGCACAAAATCTCAAAGACGGTCAATGCGTGACCAACTTTGATGCCAATACCGACTATTTCCCCGAAAAGCTCAACACTCGTAAGTATAACAAAACCCCTGGACGCATTGTACAAACATACAAACATATGTGATTTGTTTAAATAGGCGAGGAGGATGAAGCCAAATACTTTGCCATTGAATACCACAACAACTACAAGGTCATTACTGATCACCGTAACGAGAAGCAGTACTACTTGGTACAATGTGGCACGACAGCACCATCGGTTCCCCAGGGTACAGCCGTATACAATGTTCCCTTGACCAGTGTTGCTGCTCTCGAAACAACCGTTGTCCCTTATCTTGAGGTAGGCACACAATGATGGCTCGTATCAAGCAAAGGCTGACATAGAGGTTTTTCAGGTCTTGGGTGTTGCCGAATCCATCCACCTTGTTGCCGATGCTTCAAGCGTTACATCAAGCTGCTTCCAAAAGTACCGACAAGAGTCATCCAACGTGACCGAAATGTCGACTACCAACGTTACCCTTGCCAACGAACAAGCCAATGCTGTGCAAATTCAATTTGGTACCAGCTACTACACCACCGATGAAACCGTAGCTACCGCCCAATCGTATGAACCTGATATCCTTGGTGTAAGTGAGCAGCATTTAATGGGAGATGATGGATCAACCTAATACGTTGCTATGTTTTAGCGTGCTGCATGGATCGGTTACTATGCAGCTTTCTTCAACCTTGAATCCTTGGCCAACGATATTATTGCCAACATCACCACCAACTACAACAACTTGAAGGAAGCATCGAGCCACTATAGCGATGATGAAAAGCCATTGGTTGCATGGACCATGTATGATGCTCCCAGCCAATACAATGGCAACAAGGCTAGCTGGAACGTGAGCACCGCTAGCTACAAGGCCCAATTGACCGAGGATGCTGGTAAGTAAAAGACGTCAAGGGCTCTCTCTCAGTATTGGGATTCCTTATTGATATGCATTGTTAGGTGCACGCATGCTCAACAGCAGCCAATTGCAATTTTTTGATAATGCCGAATTCTTGAAAGCCATCACCGATGTGGATGTGGTTATTGATGAGACGTACGTGGCTACTACCATGGATGATTTGTTGAAGGCCTATGGTATCAAGGATGATGGAACCTACAAGTTTGTGACCAACAAGGCTGTTTACCGTGAGGATGGTATCATGACTCCTTCTGGTGGTTATGATTGGTTCTCTGGTGCCGTTGTCTTTGGTGATGCTCTTTTGGCAGATGTTATCAATGCCGTCAACCCATCAGCACCCACGTCCGATTTCAAGCGCTATTGGTTGCGTAACGTGGCCTTGAATGAATCCGTCTATTATACTGATCCCAAGAACTGCACTTGGGATGAAACTGCTCCTAGACCCAACCCTGCTATTACTTATACTGGTGATGCATTCACCATGGAGGGTGCTGCTTCGAGCTCCTTTGTCGTCGGCGGCTGGTCCACCACGCTTGTTGCTCTCTTGACAACCGCATACGCTTTCCTTGCTTAATCTCTTATAATATAATCCCTTTTTTGTAATACAATTGCATCTATTCTTTCTTGTAATCCATAAGCTAGCGGCCTAGGTTGCTCGCTTTTCTCGTAAACTCGTGATTTATTTATGACTACGTATGGAGTAATGAGTTTACACGTTTACACAGCCACGTTAAGATCTCCTTTTCTCCTTCATCTATGTTTACATTGCGAGACTACCTCTATTGTAACATGAGCTGCATGCATAAAGTATCATACATTGACCCTTCCAGTCATGCAAAATCAATTGTTACACAAACACGACATTCTACATCTTTGGATCTATCAGGGTCGAGCTACTCGACAATGAGCAAAGACCTCTTTTCATATAGCATCACGCTTACAGCATAGGTAAAACATAAAGGTGCCTGTATCTCCAAACTTTACAATGAAACGTGGGGTTTTTATTAGAGCAATGTGCTCGTCGGGGTCAAAGGAATCTTGTGTTAAAGTATGAAGTTCATCGTGGGCAATCCCAGATTTCGCAATGTCGCTACCAGCCAAACTGGATCCGGGGGTCGACCTCTTCGACGACGACCAAAAAAATATTTTTTGGGCTAGTTGCGACATTGAACGTGAAACTTTCACACAAGGTGCTGTTGGCCAAGCCGAGCCCATTGCGCTAATAAAAACCCCACGTTTCATTGTAAAGTTTGGAGATACAGGCACCTTTATGTTTGTAAGTGTGATGCTATAAGAAGAGTGGTCTTTGTTCATTGTCAAGTAGGTGGACCCTGGCAGAGCAAAAGATGCAGAGGGTCGTGTTGTGTAACACAGCTACGTTTGCATGAATGAAAGGGTCAATGTATAATTACTTTATAGATCATCTAGGAACAGGCATGTATTGCTAGCTAACGGCCACTTTTATCCAGTCAACATTGTTGCGAGATCCACTGCATGGGAACGATGCCCTGCTCTAGACATTCATTTCCATGATTAAAGTAGGTTGATCCGAGCTGATTTGGCTGAGCTGTAGTCAAAGAGAGATTACATCACTCTGGACATAAAGCACGCTCGATGTAGCTCAACCGATGTAATCTTGTGTGAGCGTAACTCAACCAAATCAGCTCGGATCAACCTACTTTAATCATGGAAATGAATGTCTAGAGCAGGAGCATCGTCCACCTACGATAGAATGCACAAAAGTTGGGAATGCACAAAAGTGGCTATTAGCTGCCAATGTATGACATAAAAGTGAGGTCGGGGTCAAAGGAATCTTGTGTTAAAGTATGAAGTTCATCGTGGGCAATCCCAGATTTCGCAATGTCGCTACCAGCCAAACTGGATCCGGGGGTCGACCTCTTCGACGACGACCAAAAATATTTTTTGGGCTAGTTGCGACATTGAACGTGAAACTTTCACACAAGGTGCTGTTGGCCAAGCCGAGCCCATTGCGCTAATAAAAACCCCACGTTTCATTGTAAAGTTTGGAGATACAGGCACCTTTATGTTTGTAAGTGTGATGCTATAAGAAGAGTGGTCTTTGTTCATTGTCAAGTAGGTGGACCCTGGCAGAGCAAAAGATGCAGAGGGTCGTGTTGTGTAACACATGCGATTTGCATGAATGAAAGGGTCAATGTATGATACTTTATAGATCATCTAGGAACAGGCATGTATTGCTAGCTAACGGCCACTTTTATCCAGTCAACATTGTTGCGAGATCCACTGCATGGGAACGATGCCCTGCTCTGAACATTCATTTCCATGATTAAAGTAGGTTGATCCGAGCTGATTTGGCTGAGCTGTAGTCAAGAGAGATTACATCACTCTGGACATAAAGCACGCTCGATGTAGGCTCAACCGATGTAATCTTGTGTGAGCGTAACTCAACCAAATCAGCTCGGATCAACTTGCTAGTATGGAAAATGAATGTCTAAACTGGAGCATCGTCCACCTACGATAGAATGCACAAAAGTTGGGAATGCACAAAAGTGGCTATTAGCTGCCAATGTATGACATAAAAGTGAGGGTTGCGTACCTTTCATGCATTGTCCCTGAAGTCCTGACTTTTTAGCTGAGTTACCCAAAGAGGTCCTTCTGCATCTTTGGCTCTCCAGGGTCTAGCTACTTGACAATGAACAAAGACCACTTTTCATATAGCATCACGCTTACAAACATAAAGGTGGCTGTATCTCCGAACTTTACAATGAAGCGTGGGGTTTTTATTAGAGCAATGGGCTCAGCTTGGCCAACTGCACCTTGGGTGCCAGTTTCACGATCAAGCTTGCCAATCCCAGATTTCGCAATGTTGCTACCAGCCAAACTGGATCCAGGGGTCAACCTCTTCGACGACGACGGCCCAAAAATATTTTTTGGGCTGTTTGCGACATTGAACGTGAAACTTTCACACAAGGTGCTGTTGGCCAAGCCGAGCCCATTGCTCTAATAAAAACCCCACGTTTCATTGTAAAATCTTGAGATATGGGCGTCTTTATGTTGTGTGCGTGATGCTATATGATAAGGGATAGTTGTTCATTGTCAAGTAGTATGACTATAATACGGCCGAAGATGCAGAGGGGCGTGTTTGTGTAACTCAGCAGCTTTGCATGAATGGAAGGGGCAATGCATGATACTACACGCTGCTTAATACAGTTTATAGATTGGCAGCTGATAGCCTGTTCCTGGTATTTGCCATTGTTTCCCAACCCAATGCATGTGAACGATTGTGCTGCTCCAGCACATCATGCCCATCCTTCAACTTTCTTGATCCGAGAGGATTTGGTTGAGTTACGCTCAAACACAGAAGTATCATCCAATTTCACAAAAATTATTTCGCAATGTTAGTTGTCAACTGCCAGCTAGCAGCCCATTCCTCCCATTCACCTTTGTTGTCCAATTCAATGCATACGAACGATTGTCTTGCTCCAGCCCATCATGCCCATTATTCAACTTTCTTGATCCAAGAGGATTTGACTGAAAAACGCCCAAACAAAGAAGTATCATTCAACTTGAGAACAATCTGATTAATTCCCAGTTCTTCCACTCCCACCTTCTTGCCTCTTTCTCTCAATCTCAACTGTTGGCCCATTCATGCACGATTGCCACCTGCGAACGATTGTCCTGCTTCAACCCATCATGTCAATCCTACAATTGCCTTGATCCGATTGTCTTTGACTGAATGGCAAGTCCATGGCGTGTACACAGCCTTCTTGTCGCTCATCTAGAACACACGAGTCTCTTGATACAACACACACTCTTTCACGCTCCTCAATCGCGACCATTCGTAATAGCATTCATTCCAGCAGTTGCTATTAGCAAGGGCCTTTACTCCATTGTCTCAAACAGCTTTCTTTACTTGCAGCAACTTGCCTTACAGCCTTTGTCACGTGGATAGCAGATAGCTATTGTATAGAAGCAGCTTTATTTACGCGTAGCAACTTGCTTCAATATATACAACTTCTTGTGGATATGGATATGGATATGGATATTGGTTTGGTGTATGGGATGGAGGGAGTTGAGTATATACAACGCGTGGAAAAGAGTGGATCCATTGTCAACTTGTGCATTATACTTGCTGCTCTGATCCTGAACGATTGGTGCATCCAATTATCGTACTTGACGCTATTCATGGTAGCTACTATCATCACCCTTTACGCAACCTGCCAACCATGTACATCCATCATCATTCAACACCAACAAGCCGTTCATACAATTCGTCAACGCGTATCAAGTCCCGCCTCACAACCATCACTTCATCTTTGCACAATTCACGCCCAAAGGAGAGGAACAATCTTGTGTCCGTTCTATCTCTTGTGAATGATGTTGGATCAAAGGATTGCTTTAGCGAATATGGGATTGCATTGGCCAAGCATGTCTATGATCCTAGATGATCTTCATGAGTTGGACTTTATCGAGTGTGGAGAGTTGAAGCATTGTGTTATAGAAAGGTTTATGCAGGATTGTAAAGGTGTACGCGCTTATGAATGCTGTGATAATGGAACAAAGAGAGGAAGGGAAAGGGTCTGATTGAGGGAGGAAAAAGTGTTGATGGAGGATGTGAGATGTGCTGTGCGGAGCCGATTTGCCACAAATACGATAGGATGTCCCTGGATGGGTGCACTTTCTTTTCTACACATACACACACACACACATACACACACACACATACCCACCATGGTCAAGTCGACTATTATTGCCCGTGTATCCGATGGCCTTCCATTAGCTGCCAGCATGGACGATGAACAGGTGAGAGAAACACGGACCTCAATGCAAAGTCATCAGCCTTACATGCGCACTCTTGCAGGTAGAAACCGAGTTGGCCGAATACAAAGCCCAAGCCAAGACTATCTTCAAACGTCTCAATGCTCATTCCGAACCGAGATGTTCGATCGAATCGGGTGCCTACGTGTTTCAGTACGAAGGAAAAACAAAAGGATTCGATACGGCTATGATACTCACCTCAACGCGCGCTCTTCCTTGATCTATTCTAGCTATATCATTGAAGGCAACGCTTGTTATCTCTGCATCTGTGACAAGTCTTATCCTCGCAAGTTGGCATTCAGCTATCTGGAAGAATTGGTTAAGGAATTCAATATGAGCTATGGCAGTGAAGTTGACAAGCCAGGTTTGCGACCTTATGCATTTGTCAAGTTTGGTATGTTGTGCCTTGTTGCGTGGAAGGATACGGCTTTGCAAAGGATGGGAACTAAGCATGTCGCGTTGTTGTAGATACTTTCATGCAAAAGACAAAGCGCATCTATCAAGATACCAGAACACAAAACAACCTTACAAAGTTGAATGAGGACTTGCAGGATGTGACACGTATCATGACCAAGAACATGGAGGATTTGTTATGGCGTGGTGACAGCTTAGACCGTAAGTGATGGGTTCAGGAGATGCAGTGGGAAGGTGATGTTGCATTTTATATATCGATAAATGGTTGATGGATGTATGTGATGGAACGGAATAGGGATGAGTCAATATTCTGGTGAGCTCAAGGATAGTGCAAAAATGTTCAAAGACAAAGCACGCCATTTGAATCTGCAAGCATTGGTAAGTGGCCTATTGTTGCGTGATAAAAGGAAGATAGCTTATTGGGTGTCTTGTAGTATCGAAAATATGGTCCACCTGCTATCATTGTCTCTGTGATCCTAGGTGTGTTGATGCTTAGGTATTACGTCTTTTAGATACGGGATGAAATAAAGACCTATATTATGCTAGATCACATCATGTTGCAAATAGACGTTAATGTCGCTTATACTTGCAGGATAATGAGAGCCATGATTAGTTTTGGTGTCGATGATTAACTTTGTCTCAAAGAGATGGGTCGCGTGAATGCTTTTTTTGGGGTAGGAGGGAAACCTGTGAGACAGACTTGTACATACACCACCATAGTCAAAGTTGATATGTTTGTTTATTGCACTTTGGTTGTATCGGGGTTGTACTACATGTTTGGATGATTGTACCAGCTTGTGATTAAAGACACTACGACAACAATATGCTGGTCTCATATAAAGAGGCATTATCGTCAGGATGGGGTATCGTAGATATTAGCACGGCATGAACGACTGTTATGGTAAAAGTGGGGGGCTAATGGGGAAGGGATCAGAAACAATGAAAATGAGCAGCTGAAACTGGCGATTGTCGGTGACAATAGAAAGAACCATTCATGCGGCTCAATTTACCCCCGCATACACACCACCATCTTTTTTTCCCAAGCAAGGCAATCCTTTTGCACAGTGTCACCTGCAAATCGAAGCTCGGCTCAACACTCTTACATACAACAAAAAGAACAAGAACGAAAGCCTTTCTTCATGCACAGACGCTTCTCGAGACGACATTCCAAGACCAATTCCACCAGTGCAACTCAAGGTGTGAATGTCGATGGTGACATTGCCCAATGTTCAAGACGACAATCATGGTCTGGTGTCTTCACGCAATGGCGAGATAAGACGGCTCGACATACGCGTAAAGTGTTGCCCAACGTGTCTTCACCCACTTCGCCCCAAACAAGCCTTACTTCTATGGCGACTACTTTACCCACATCCAACAGCAGTAACTTGTCTATCACACCGGTTCCCACATCAGAGCATGATACCTATATGATGCAGCATCAGCGACAACACGATTCGGGTGGACGACATCATCATGTCAAGGTATTGTAATTGTATGTCGTACAACGTCAAAGCCTATATCACTTACACATGTATCCATGCAACAACCAAGCCGCTGGTTGCTCTGACAATCAATTTGCGTGACACATACTCCCGGCGGAATTCGGCATTCCGATACGATCCAGCATTGAATCCGAAACGAGTGCTCACCAAGCCGAGTGTGGGATGCAAGAACAACAACTATGATAATGAAAACAGCGACTATATCATTTATGTCAATGATGTTCTCTCCGATGTGAATGGTAAAGGGCAAAGGTAAGATGGTCTTGATGGAATGGTATTATCATCCAATGGAGATTGATCACAACTCGATTACTACATCAGATACATTGTCAAAGAGATGCTTGGATCAGGGACCTTTGGTCAAGTAGTCAAATGCAGGGTCATAGAAACGGGTGAACTTGTCAGCGTCAAGATCATTAAGAACAAGCCAGCCTACCTGAAACAAAGCCTCATCGAGGTTGATATCCTCAAACATGTAAGTTAAACAAGGTGGATGATGATGGCATTCAACTTAGATTGCTCTACTAGTTGAACAATCGATGGGATCGCAATGATGAGCATCACATTCTAAGGCTTCAGGATACATTTACGCACAAGAATCATCTATGCTTGGTGTTTGAGCTGCTGTCAGTGAGCCTCTACGACCTGATCAAGCAAAACAAATTCCGTGGCCTGTCGACGCATCTGATTCGACTCTTTGCAGGGCAAATCCTTGACGTGCTTGAGATTTTACGCCTCGCCGATGTCATTCATTGCGACTTGAAACCCGAGAATATCTTGCTGGAAACGTAAGTGGCAATAAAAAAAGGGAGGTGAATGGCTAAGTATTGACGTTTTTTATCACCATAGGCTAGAGGCTCCTGATATCAAGGTGATCGACTTTGGGTCAGCATGTCATCGATCGCAACGCATGTATACATACATTCAATCTCGGTTCTACCGGTCTCCTGAAGTTCTCATTGGCATGAAGTACTCCACCGAAATAGACATGTGGTCATTTGGATGTATTGGCAAGTATGCCCTGTTGGGGGACTTTTTCATTGGCAATGCTAACGTCTTTATTGTAGTTGCCGAGCTTTTCCTCGGGTTGCCCATCTTCCCTGGTAGCTCAGAGTACAACCAATTATCACGGATCATTGACACACTTGGGTAAGCATTTATAGAAAAAGAGTTACCAATGGCGACTAATGTTGACAATGTGTGTAACATGTACATGTATAGCATGCCACCTGATCGCATGATTGAACATGGGCGACATTCCGATCGTTTCTTTGACCACGTAACGGATGAAGATATGAATCCCTGCTATCGACTCAAGAGTATGAAGAAATACATGATGGATCAGCACAAAAAGGAGAAGCCCAACAAGAAATACTTTGCGACCACGGATCTTTCAGAGTTGATTTTATCATATCCGATGCCAAGGAAGCACATGACGCAACCTGAAAAGGACGAAGGTAAAGTGAGCATGCGATGAATTATACAATCCCATCACTAACCTATGTATTTTTTTAGAAATGCGATTAAGGTTGCTATTGGTAGATTTTCTTCAAAAGATACTGCGAATCGATCCATCAGAACGATTGACACCTGTGGAAGCCAAATATCACCCATTCATCACTGGTGAAGACGACAATGGTGATCCGTCAACATCATCTTCAGTGGAGTCTGCTTTTAGTGAGCACCTATTGCAACGTACAATGACGGATGCTTCAAAGAATACTACAAGTACTCCTTCGGATAAGGATATTGCGAATTGTTGCATATGCAGTGTGGGAAGTGCAATGATTGATCAGCAGCAACCACCACCACTTCAAGACGCACAAGCCAGCAAGGGCAACGGGTTTAGAACGACTCCGCATAAAAAGAAAGACTCTATTACTACGCCTCCTCTCTCACCAGATGGTTTCGAAAACCAAGATATGGTTGTATCAGGGTTATCCACAGCGACGAATATCACTCAGAGCAATAGCGACAGCATACTGCAACCCATGATCCCGATTGTACCATCCAAAATCCCTAATGATCGATCGAAATGCCAATTACGGCGGCGACAACAAACGACGCAACTCTAACTTATTGCCCCACATTCCCTCCTTACTACCATAATGTTGCTTCTTGTAATAAATGCTTTTAATAGATAGTCTCTAATGCAAAGTCTCTAAAGTCTCCAAAATGCGAGGTCATGATGAGGATGGTAATGATGATGAGGATGATGATGGTACTGAAGGAAGCCATAATTTCCAACCATGTACAGTGGATCGTACTTCAACATCTCCGGGATCTTCTTCAAACATGACATTCATCTTTTCTTGGATGAAATGGTCTGCTTCGAATCCGTAGCCAACGGTTTCACGATCATCCGGATCGACATTGGGTGTGTAAGGACGTTGAGCAATCGAAAAGAATTCAACATCCCGATGGGCAAGATGAGGTCGATGATGCGTATAGAAAACATAGACACGGCCAGTATCGGGTGTAAGTAATTCATGGCAAGTGCGTAACATGGCATGATGTTGTGAATGATTAAAGACGAGATCACTGAGGATAATGACGTCGTACGTGGATCGACCTTCCGGTAGTTGTTCTTTCAATGCGTTGGTTGCTGTGCCCCATACATAGCCTTGTACTGCCACGTTTTGGTTGCCTGGTAGATTGGTATCCACGTTGTATTGAATGTTGTCAATCAATTCCTTGTCCGGATAATCGGTGATCACCACTTTGGATGCTCCATTGGCTGCAGCCACTAAACTTGGTAATGCACCACCAGCACCCAACTCGAGAATCGTCTTGTCACGGCATAGCTCCTTGTTGTCATCGAAAAAGCGTGCAAACACCTTGGATGCGTTCCATAAATGATGGGCCCAAAGAGGATGTGATCCAACAAGTCGAATATTCAAGGTCTTGGGTTGATTATCTATCATCATCCATCATCTTCTTAGTACCCTCTTCCTTCTTTATCCTCGTATCACTCACACTACTCACGTTCATCGCCACGGGTATAGATCTCGGTCGTCGGCTCGGGAATCGAGACCTCTTCTTCTTCAGCCTACAGGATCTCGTTAGCAATGGCCAAGTCCTTGACGCCATGAGCCACCCTACTTTACCCCAAAGAGATCGCCTGCAAATCCTTCGTCGTCGCTCATGGTGTGTGTGTGTAAGTGAAAGAAAATACAACAAAAAGACCACTCCGCTTCGCTTCGCTTTGTATAAGCTGGTGCTCTTTTGGTGTGTGTGACCTTTGAAACCATCATCATTACCATCGCCATCCATCATTACCCATCATTACGCACATGCCTACCTTGAAGATCACTTGGGTCACGTTGGCATGGTTACTACAGAGTAGTATCTTTTCATTACGTCAACCTAATAAAGATAAAACTACATCAGTACCACTGGTCTAGCAACATTATCATTATTAGACCACATCATCATACCGTCTCATGTTGTTTAATCCCACAACCAGCATCGAGTGCACTCTATTCCCAGTATCCATGACAACAATTGGTTGCTGTGATCATAATGGTGAGTGACGATAACGATGATATCGGCAAAGATGTTGTGCTGCAGCGATGGATGATCCGCTTCTTTGTTCTTCTCCTTCTCTTTTCCGCAATGACAGCAACACAAACGATTGGCATGGTGTTCAGTACCAAGAAGCTCAAGCAATCGCGTCTAGTTGACATTTCAAAGCATGCAAGGTAGAGTGTAGTGGAAGGTGCTGTATAAGGATCTTGACGTTAAATGGAGGAGCACCACCATTAGATCCTCTGGTTTGAACTTTGTCGACCTCGATCTGTCAAGGCCCATTGAGGACCAAATGCCGTTGGATATGGTTGTACATAAAGTGAGCGATATTGTTGCCAGAGCCAAAGCAGGAGATAAGAATGCCCAGGCCGAATATGAACGATTCCAAGTAAGTGTGTGTGTGTATGTATGTGTCCTATCCATGCAATACACTGACAATGAGACCTCAATAGACATTTTGTTCAAGTCATCCAAACGTACGCATTGTGGATCCATTGGATAAAGTCGCCAAATTACTCGATAGAAAGAGCACAATGAATGTGTGTTCACCTGATCATGGCAAGTCATCATTGGTCATTTGTGGTGGGGGTGGATCCCATTATTAACCTTTCCTCTTGCAGCATTATTCCGTATACCAACTACCTTGTATGCAGCCAATGTGCATGAGTTACACACGCTTGATTTGACATTCCCGGTAAGTTGTTTATATACAATCCTAATCCAAGCTAACAATACCATGTAGATCTTTTGTAAACCACAATCAGCGTGTGCAGTATCAGGATCCCATCATATGGTGCTCGTCCCCTCTTCGTTGGAATTGGCACAGTTGCAGCAGCATTTTACTCCTAATGATCCTGTCATATTACAAGAATTCATTCCACATGATGGTGTACTTGTCAAGGTCTATTTCGCTTATCCCGATCACGTCTTCATCTTTTTTCGACCTTCTTTCAAGAACATCGATCAAGGTAGGAGGATTGTCTCGGCTGAAGAATACTTTCATCTTACTTATCATCACGTCAATCTTAGGATTCTCCAAAGCCCTCTTTTTTGACAGCCAAAAGCTTCCCAAGGCATTTGATCCCGAGTCATCTGAACAACGACATATAGTGACGGATCCTGCTGCTCGAGATGCTGTTGAGGCCAAGGTGGATCCTACACGTATCCAACGTATTGCAGCTCATTTACAACGACAGCTGGTGAGTGATCAGGGACACATGTAACTATACGAGCTAACATGGGGTTTTTTTGCAGCGTCTCACATTCTTTGGGTTTGATGTGTTACTGGAATCCACAACAGGAGAATATCATGTGATTGATGTGAATTACTTTCCCAGTAAGTTGAAACGTGGTTCACATGGATCTACCTTTTACTAACAATAGCACTCACACAAAGGCTTCAAAGAAGTGGACGACTTTCCAGATATATTTATAGCCACCTTAAAGCAGCTACTAGAAGAACCACTTTCACCCAATAATCAACCCCAATAATACCCACCCCTCCCCTGTAGTAGTAGTATCACTCTATTAATGTCTATGTTATCGACACGAAGCCGTTGCTTGCAAATATAAGACTGATCCATGTGAACCTTTCTTTCCTGTAATTGAAATTCGGGAGTATGTATACGTACATGATATATTAACAACAACGGCAATATTACATGGGAGAAGAGAGTACACCCAGGATGATGGGACTAACCTTCTTCATTCACGTGGGGTACAGGGAATTGATTGAAAGAAGAATTGGCTTGTGCATTATGACTTGCTGTTGCCAAGACCATATACCCACCGGGAATGATTGATTTGGATACTTTTCTTTGCCAAATGATGACTCCTGTTCTTGCTTGAAGGCAGTATACGTACTTGCCACAGCCGATATACACCCGACCCGTGGGTGGATCCATAAGTGCATTTGGAAATTCTTCTCCACCACCAGGACAATCGAATCGCTGTTTTTGTGACATGCATAACTTAAGCAAATGAGTCAAACGGATATCATGGATGATCCACTTACCCAAATCGTCGATCCATTATGAAGGTTGATACCCAAGCATTTCCCATTGGTGCATGCAACGACAACCGAAGACTGCGTCACTTCGTCATATCCTGGTGGTTGTTCATCTTGCATTGATGCATCATCATAGCTGTTACTACGCGAGACACCTTCTGAAGCCGTTGTATGGTGTTTGTTGGGCATCACAGTCAATCCAACAGGTTCATGACCACATCCCTACGTGTGCCATAATATCAGTTGTACGTGAATTAAAAGGATCCGTAATTACTACATACATCCATCTTATTCATCCACACGGTGTGTCCTCGTGTCATGTCAAGACAAGCTGTTTTGCCACCACCCGCCACCAACACTTGACGGGATTCAGGGACCACAAAAATTGAAAGGATGCCTGACATGGCTGTGCCTGTGGGCGATTCGACTTTCCACAGCGGGGTACCATCACGTTTAGAAAGGGCATAAACATTTCCACGTGTGGCACAAATGAGAATTTCTTGAGGTGACAAGATTGATCCGAAAAGGTTGCTGCTGCTGCCGCTGCCGCCGCTGCTGTCGCTACGAGCAATACTGCCACCACACTTTTCCTTGAGCATTTTTGTTATTGTGTTGTATGAAAGGAAGAAGAAAACAAGGAAGCACAAGCAATTAAATGCTGGTGGGCTGTGCGTGATAGGGTCACGCACAGCCTGTTTTTCCTTTCTTTTGGTAACCTTTACTGCGACAACTTCGCCACAACAAACGTAGGAGGGATCTGTATCCTTAATACTGGATCCAAATCATGCAAAATGATTTATAATAATCGCACCCTTTCCACTTGCTTAGCCCTGTTGCATCATAACGCAAACGTGGGACCAATTGCGTAAACACCCTTATCCTACATACATGTATAATACTGTGTACCTATTTTTGACACCACTACTAGTACTGACATTTGATCATCTCCTCATTTCCCCGGACGGACCAAAAGTTTGAAATGTATCAACCAGTGTGACCCATACGTTTGTATTTATAAATAATATAGGGTAAATGTTGTACGAAAGCAAAACGATTCTATTGAGGATCACGTGGATCGATGTAGTTCCAGAGCCCACAATCTGTGCAATCTTCATCTTCATCAACACAATCTGGTAATGGGAACTCGTCATCTTGTTTCAGGATATTTTCAATGACATCGGCCACCCTGTGCGATCGAATATCAACGCGCCATCCCTTTTCGCTTACAGTGTCCCAGACACACATCTAAACCCAAGATCAAAAATGTCAATACCTTCCCTTATTATCCTTTCTTTTGCTTCACCACGTTTACCTTTCCAGTGTGGCATCTTGTTTCCATTGCATAGCCCCCATACCAACAACTACTAGAAGGACCCTGCATAATACAAATTAGCTTGATGGATGATGAAAGAAAACAAGGCTATTCGTTGTCCTACCTTACATGCGCCCACAAAGATAGGGTCGGCTGTGTGACCAAAATGCCAAAGCGGTAATTCAACTCCCGGTGCATGTGGCAAATGCAGCCTGCGTGCCGCCAATTGTTCACCCGGTATCTCGTATGTGACGGTAGGCACCAGGAATGTTTGTCCCACGAGACTTGCCAAGGCTCCACCAAGCGAATGACCTGTCACCCATATGGTCGCATTCGGATGTCGATCCGCCACATCTTTGTAGATTTCCTAAGGATAATAATGAGTGAGTATCTACATGTACGTGCTCTATTGCCATCCAATTACCAATGCATGATCATAATAAAATGTCCTGTTTTTGATATGGGATTCAAGACACTGATTCTCGCAAATGTACTCGTTGTTTTGATAGCAATCACAAACCGGGGACCAAGCTCGACTGATACGGGCACAGCAGCATGAAAAGAGTAGGTTATCCTATACATACATCGATGTAACAAGTCAATGGGTTGAATAACAATCGTCATCATCATCCTGCACACTTGCATTAATCTTGTCCTTGTCGGTAGTTGAACCGCCCCCTCCAAGTAAGCCGGCACTTGTTCCTTTGATGCTGACGATCAAAATGGATTCATCCTCATTGCTGAACACGTGGCCACGAATGCCATCTGATTCCCACCCAAATGATTCGCTCTATGTCACACACTATCATCAGCGTTGGGGTAAATTTCACCTAATGAATACAACAACATACCACGTTCCATGGCGTCCCCAAATCATACCATTCAGTGCTGTTATCAGCTGGGCTGTAAGCATTGTTCGTCATCATGGCCAAAGCGAGAATTGTAGGTCGATGCTTGGTATCCGGTAGCAATCCATCATGGTCTTCTTTGAATTCAACATGCACGGGTGAACTTGTATGGAGCCAAGATCGTTGATGTCGATACATTGAAAACACGTCTCCCAGGGATACGGGTCGATAGGTAGTGCCTGACAACGATTGAAGATCGTATCGTTGTTGTTGTTGGGATGCCTCTTGCGTGCTGAAAGTATCTTTGGATATAGAATGTCTGCGAAAGAGGCCGGGAATAGGACCTGAAGAAGATGCATGATGGTACACAGACTGCAAAGTAAATGAATGCTGCTGCTGTTGTTGTTGCATATCAGCTGTAGGTGGTTGTGTATCGATTTGATCCACGATAACGACTGTAGGTGGTATTGACTGTGGCGTTAACTGAAACGGAAGCTGTTGTCTCCATATTGCCCAGCACAATGGAGTGAGTGTCAGGTGCATGAGAAGCAATGCCAAGAATCGGTACATGTTAAGGGAACAAGATGCATAACGGCGACGACGGTCGGTCTTTTTGATCTCTTGCGGACTTGCATCACACACACACACCCCACTTGTTTTTCCTTGTCCAGCAGCGCCCCCCGATCGATCGATCAGTCGCAACACAAAGACACCATGAAACCCAAAGGAGGCAATCGTAAACAACCAGCTGGTCCTCATGGATTCGTTCGGAAGACACGCAAGAACAACAAGGAGGGTTTATCGAGCATCAAGAAACGTATACGCGATTTGGGCCGAACGCTGAAAAAGGTACCATGCCATAACAGATCAAGGCGATCGGATCTAATGAGCATCGACTTTAGGGGACACCCACAGCTGCAATGAGAGTTGAAGTGGAAAGGAAGCTCAAAGCACTCGAGTACGAATATGGCGAGAAGTACATTGATAAGCATGAACACGAGTTGTCCTCCAAATATCGATCTGTCAAACACTTTGGTAAATGTTTGGGTTATACAAGGATGAGATAGGAGAACTTTCTCTAATGTGACATACATTCATATATAGAATTGAAGAAGGCAGAACGCAAAGTGAGAAGAGCACAAAAGGCATTGGATGCTGCCGAAACGGATGAAGAAAAGAAGAAGCATGAACAAGAGCTTGAAGAGAGCAAGATTGATCAATTGTATATAGAGGTAAATCCTCATTGATGGCTCTTTTTTTACCATTCACTCATCCTTGTATTTTGTATAGTATTACCCCAAGACCATGGCATACATTTCATTATACGCAGAGGAGAAGGAACAAAAGAACAAGGAAAGGAACACAAAGACACGACAAGAGCTCAAGGATAAAATCAAAAAGATCCGCGACACACATGGCGACTTTGATGAGATCTCTCGAGAATATCGGAAGAAACTTCGCAACGAGTTGCTGGCACAAGGCAAGATTTTCGAGACGACTGGCGCTGAGAACGAGATGGAAGCAACAGAATCAACCAGCAAAAAGGACACGGCTGCTGCAAATGATGATACTATGGAGGATGACTTTTTCGAATAAAGCATTATTACCTTTACATAGGCTTTCGTTATCTTTTCTCATTTCGTGCTCATTGTTTAAGGCTTGAATTAGTGCACTCATTAAAGAGATAACATGATCACATTTGTTTCAAAGACGAATAAAGGGCACGTTTATAATACATATCGTTCAATGATCATCATATAAATAGTAAATCTACAAGCGTGCATCGGTAGGGAACTTCTTCATGGCCTGGCGCACACCAAGGTCAGCCATGATTTCTTCAGAGCCGCCCAAAATGGCAGTGAACTTGTATGTACGTTGAAGTGCCTCAATGTTGCGACCCATACCAGTCTGAGTAATAGCACGGCCACCAAAGATCTGGCAAGCATCATCACTGACATCATGTAACATACGGGTAACCTAGATCAAAACCAGTCAATGTCAGATTTCGTGTATCAACAAATACAACAAAGAATACGTACCTGGTACTTGCACAATGCAATTGGGCCTGCAAGCTTATCGGCTTGTTCCTTGTAATCCATGTGGCACATTTGGTAGGTGATGTTATCGGTCCAGCTTTGAACGCTTTCAACAGCAGCAATCTAGCCCATTTGTTTAGCCCAACCACTCACTCTCGCCATATGTGTGTATCTTTTGCTTCTCTTACCATCTTTGCAAGCTTGTTACGGATGACGGGTTGATCAACAAGGCGCTTACCAAAGACCTAAACAAGGATGTTAGCTTCAACTTGCTACTAGCAGAGCCTCACAATCTTACCTTGCGTTGCATAGCCCACTTGAAGCATTCTTCGACAGCCAAACGACCAGCCATACATGCTCCCACGATCATGGACCAACTATAGAAAAAGTTGAGTCATTGGCGATCTTTATATCCATAAACAACACAACACACTTACCGCTCATGGTTGAAATTGGACCTATATTCAAAAAAAGAAATGATCAATAGGCTGAGCATTTCGAATGACCAATATCAATGTTACTTACAAGACATAGTACATACCACGGCCTTCCTTGCCAAGCATGTTTTCAACAGGGACCTTGACATTATCAAAAGTGACATAAGCGGTACCAGCAGTGGATGCGTATGAAGTCTTGATAGGCTTGGTCTCGAGACCCTCGCTGCGTTCAACCAATAACATGGAGATGCCCTTGTCAGTGCGCACTGCAACCGAGAAGAAATCGGCAAAATGACCTATACAATTGGATGTGAGTGATAAAGTCAACAGCGAGCAACTTTATGTATACATACCTGTAGTGATCCACTTTTTCACACCATTGACGATAAAGAATTTGCCACAAGGAGTACGTTTGGCAGTAGTACGAATGCTGGCAACGTCACTTCCCGCATAAGGCTCAGTGATTGCCAATGCCATACGCTTCTTGCCAGCCAAAACAGGAGGGATGACCTTAGCCTTGAGAGCATCGGAAGCAAAGTTGATGATGGTGGGAACTGAGATGGTCATACCACCCGTCAAGCCAGTAACAGTACCCTTGGCACCCATACGAGCCATTTCTTCGTGAACAATCGTCTACGTAGTAGTAGTGGCAGATTAATATCGTTTATCATGACACCTCTTGCTCCTCATCAATTATGTGTATGTACCTCATGGAAGTAATCATATTCCTCAGGAGAAATGCCACCAGGGAGCTTGACATTAAAGTCACGTAACCATTTGCCAGGACCAATGTTGGCTGCCAACAAGCCCGTTTCACCAAGCTTTTGTTGGAATTCATCAGGGATACGGCCACCAGCGTTTTCAAGTTCTTGTGCTTCAGGGATCAATTCATCCACAATCTTGCGTACAGCTGAACGGAACTTGATATGACCTTCACTAATATAGCAACCATCATCATACATCAATAACCCATCATTCATGCGTGATGTGAACAACAACAAGATACCACTTACGTGTAATAGGGCGACCGAAAACCCATCCAGGCACTTGGTTCACCATAAGGCACCTTGGTCAAACTACCAGCTTCACGGAACTCGATTTGAGGGGTCTCGCCAGCGATAGTACCAATCTTGTAACGGTTGTACTTGAGGAGCACCTCTTGACGATGAAGACCATAGAAAGCATCGGTGGCATCCTTGCCGGCAAATTCGAGAATGGGGAATGCACCACCAGGATGCATGTCAATAAAGACACTCATGTCATAAACAGAGCCGTCAATGATGATCCAGAGGTCGTTCTCAGCTGCATGACGACTGACTTCTTCACGAGTAAAGGTTTTGAGTGGGGCCATTGTGTAAGAGTGGGGAGGTGGGTTGGAGAGAAAGATGCGAAAACAAATATGCAGGCGTCAAGAAGACGTATATAATTTGGTTACTAAGGCTTTTTCATGCGTGTCGCCCCGTGAGAAATGACATTACACACAGTTGGAAAACCCAGAATTGGCTCTCCTGATGTAACCATGTTTTCCCCCCACACTCTCCTGGAATTGTGTCGGCTGATCTCGCATACACATACCATTATGATTGGCTCATCATTGATGTACAAGACCGTATTACTGTGCGAGCGAGTTTTGAGTGTACCTTGTTGCCATGGGAATTATCCCTAGTGTTATGGGAGATTGCAAGATTGAATAAAATGCGATTACATGATGAACTATCACCTTTACCTGTTTTGGGGGTTAAATTTTTCCCGCTGACTACTGCTGATTAAAGCATCGTTGGGGCAAGCCTTCCTTGTTGCATGATGGCCTCTTTGAAAATCAAGAGCAGGCGTTCTTTTAGTGTTGTGTCCATCATAGCCCTATGTTCTCCATCACCATGATCAGCCTTTCGAAGGTCATAATACAAAGAGAGACATGGATGCTGTGTCGTTGAATGCAAGTTATTGAAATCTCTCAAGGTAGCCTTCCTTTCACATATGAGATTCACTTGCTGGGAGTTACACCACCCCATAGAGCAATGTGGATGGTGTTGTTGACTCGACAAATACAACAGCTTCATCCATGATAATAATGATGCAATTAAAGTGTTGGCTGCTTCCATATTGCCTGCTGTAATGGTATCCTTTCTTATCGAGCTATGGGATCATCCTGTTGGTGTATCGCATGATCATGCTGCACGTGATGTTTACTTTTACGTATGTACGCACACGCCTTCGATTTTGGAACGTAGCAAGTGCCCTAAAATGGGGAAGTCAACAACTAGAGTGGATCAGCGACTTCTTTATTTATGGACTTTTGGTACTATGTAAATGAACAAGCGTTGTACATATATTCAAGGGATAGCTACGAATGCATGACAGGGCACTTTGGAGCAAACTTTTCAGGGCCAAGCTCAGGGATCACATACCCATCTGGATAAACTGTACCATAAATGCAAAAGGTAGGCATGTACTTTCCCGTCTTATCATCTGCTTTCCATGGGGTACGTGTCCAAAACTTGCGTCGTGGCAGCATCAAATGCCGTATGAAAAAGGCTCGCAACCGTACAACGGTGAAAAACAGCTTTCCAATGATCCAACTAGGTTCCTCAATACCAAATGCGTGACGATCCAACTCTTCAAGCAATACAGGGACTGTGGCACGAATGAGAGGTTTCATAAATCCAGGTACACGGCTGTATAGCAGATCCAAAGTAGGCGTGGCCACCTTCCAGTTGCAAGGTGAATAGCGTACAGCTTTTTGTTCGTATTGCTAAGGAGACGCTGAATCAATAACACGACAAAGGAACGTAATGATGGCCCTTTTTCTTTACTTTTTTGCAATCCATGAGTCCTTGGAGCGTATCCGGGATGTCCTTGATATTCATTTTCAAACCAATATCATACCAAACCTTGAAAAAAGCCTATGCAAGCATCTTTGCATCAGCAAAAGAATGACACCAATAGGACTATTTTTTCTTACGTTGATCTCTCGAATATCCAGCTCTCGCCATTCGAATGCATTGATCCACCGAATGGGCTCACCCACAAAGAGTGCCAAGGTAAACAAGTAATCATCATTGAGGATTGGGTATTTGCCATGGAGTTCATTGAGACGATGAATGGATGTCTCAGCACGTTGATGTTGCTCAACTTCATCACGGCTATCCACAGGTCGGTGATCCATTAGCTCGTTTTGGATACGAGGATACACATCAATGATCTCTGAAAGAATCAATTCAGTGTCCTCAGCACGACGTAATGGGGCCTTTTCAAATTCCCGTGTGCCTATCAGGATTTTGCTGACCGTAGGCACTGTAAACGTTTTAAAGAGTGCAAATTCGATCGATTCTCGGGATATCACTATACCATCCCCTGTTAGCTTTCATCATGAAAAGTACCAAAATCCACAATACATGGGAACTCTTTGCGAAAGGTATGGCAGTAAATTTCTTGAGCGACCTTGCCATCTTTAAGCACAACGTCTGGATCAGGGTATTTTCTTCGTATCTCATTGATACATTGGAAGCGATAATATCGAACCACGGCAACGTAGCATGCAAGAGCACTAAACAAGAGGAAGAACATTATAGGGTATCACGACAAAAAGACCCATTTGCGTAGGCATGGTATATAAACGTTGTAACAATAACCCGGTTTCCGAGAACAAGGAGAGGCGGGGTACTATCATGGTGTGAGGATGGGAAAGCAAAAGGAGGCACTAGAGCAACAAAAGCCAAGTTTTTCAACTAACAAACCTGTCATGTTCCTGGTACATGCACAAAACATGTAGCATTGCTGCATGACTTTGAAAAGTTGTATAGAGCCTATTCCCGATTTGCAATCATGGGATGGATGGTGCGTTGTCACCCCCCCCTCCTCCTATACGTTGATCGATGTATGCGTTATGTAGTAGAGGGCTACAGTGGTTGTTTACCAATAATCGATTACAGAATCAACCAGTCATTTTTTAACCTTTAGGGGTCGAATTGCCACTACTAGCTGGACACGGGGATACGATGTCATGCACCATACACAATGACGCAATAAATGATCCATAGCAATGGGTGTACCGCATACGTATATAAATTACACCAAGATGCGATCAAGAAGCGCTTTCAAGTTCATTCATCAAAGCAACAAGGGTCGTGGTCATTTTGTTGTATGTGGTCAATGCTTTTCTTGTTACCCCTTCCCGCGGCAATTTAATCTTCCATTCCCCTCCCCCAACCACTCTTTTAGTAGAGGGCGCTCGTGGACGATTGTAATGAAAATGGACGTTTGATCACATGGATGGAAAAGAATGAATGATTGTAAGCAATGAATGGCTGCACAATTAATATCCGTGATGCGGCGATAACCTTAATTGCGTACTGTTGTGGACAACGAATATGTAATATCAGCATGAGATTGTGGTACCCGCTCTCTCGTGGCCGACAATTATGATTCAATTCCCGTGTTTCCAATTACACAAAAAAGTGCGGTGCTATCTCGCCATTTCTTTTATTCTACTGGTGCTTAAAGAAAGAGAGAGAGGGTGTTTGTTTTTGCAAACACATGGTAGGGCAAGCTGTAAGTGAACGATGATGCATTGTTCAGGGTCCATGGTTAACACAAGATACGCCACCACCTATGTACATTATGATCCTTGCCTGATTTGGGTAACCAACATGCCAATGACAACAACGCTTCAAGTGGCTCTTTATTTATGATCCCATTGTGCAAAAAAGAGATAACATGTGTGTAAGCGAAACTAAGGGGGGGTCGTATTATACTCAACTTGTAGATGGTTGAATGAGCAATATGGGCGTATTTGTTGTGTGAAAAGGACCGTTTTTGCAGTTGGTTCCACAAAAAGTGTTTGCTTTTTACAATAGTTACATCGGCGACAGGCGCACACACACACACACACACACACACATTGACATCACACGAGAATGGGTGGTGGTTGAATTGGGGGGGGGGGATTGTGAAGCATCATCAAAAGCAACAGCAGCAGGAGGAGGAGTCCAACCCGCTCTTTCAAATAGGGCTCCAGGGTGACCCCATCGTTGCAACTCTTTTTTTTTTCTCTTTCTCTCCGGGGATGCTTTTTCATGTTTCTGCCGTTGTTCGTCTTTTGTCTACCGTTTATCTACGTGGCATTCGCTTACAATCCTCATCGTAACAACAACACCGTATGGGACTATGTCAACGAATTTGGATCCAAGGTAAGTCCACTATCAGTAGTATCCTATGCGTGCTTGTTCTCAGCAAGGTTTTTCTTTCCAACTAGTCATTTGTCTCCCCATTGCAGGATGAATCCGAGTACGATGTGATTGAGACCACCCTGAACCAGCCCAATATCACGTTCTTTTTACCCAACCAAGCAGCCTTCGCCACTGCTTTGGGAAACGGCGTCTTAAACTTTACCAACATCAACACCACCATTTCTCAAATACAACGCCATATCATCACCCATCAAATCTACACCACGGATTCTCTCTTGCATGGTCATCAATACATTACTCCAAACGATTCATCTACGGCTCATTTACCTCTTGTTGTGGGTCCATCCTTGCATAACAATTCCATCCTTCAAGTCACTTCTGGTATCATTACTGCCAATGTCATTTCCAACAGCATCCAATGCAGCAATGGTAAGCAATCATTTTTCTCTCTCTCCAAAGATGGAAACTCTTCCTCTCTCGCACTCTTTCTTACACATACACGCACACGACGGCAAATAGGCATCATTCACATGATTGATCAATTCTTGCAACAACCCAAATCAACCATGGATACCATTGAAAGTTTGAGTCAATTGGAGACGCATGAGTTGCTGATGAAGTCATTGAATTTGACAACTGTGGTCTCAGGCCCCAACAAGACCATCTTTGCACCCATATCACAAGCTTGGGCCGATGCCAACTCCACCAGCATGCCTTATGGCACCCTTGTACACAACCTAAAATATCAAGTGGTGGATGGTGTCTATTTACAACAGTCCTTGTACGATCCCAGCAACCCCAATAGCTCTATCGTTTTGCCGACAAATCGACATGATGCATCCCTCACCTTTCAAATGTCAAATACCGGTGAAATGTTGGTCATTGGCAAATCCATCACTGATGTCGCTCACATCATCCGCTCTGATATCATTACAACGGAAGGCGTCATTCACATGGTTGATAAGGTGCTTTCAGCTGATCTCAAAGAAACCAGCGGCAGTACTACCAGTATCAGCAGTGATGGTAGTGGCAGTCGTAGTCCTGGTAGTAGTAGCTATGGTGGTGACAATGTTGCTGCATCGCCACCCAAACCTGATACGTTGCAGCCTATGCCAGCTTCAGGCGATACCCCATCCTCCATGCAACCTGCTGATAGTACATTATCCTTCTCCTCATCCCCTTCCCACTTTGATACCATCACCTTATTATCGGCTCTATCTCCTCCATTAATTGCTCTTTGCCTGTTTTGAGTTACCAAGAAAAAAATATATAAACATGTCCCAATGTGCAATACCCCAATATAAGGTGCTGTGACACAACTTGTGAGCGGAAAAGCTTTTTTGGGAGGTCGGCCACCTGGAATGGTAACCTTGAGACCATCTAGAATACCATTTGTGTCTTTGTGTGTTTGCAAGGTTATCATTATCATACGCTTGTTCATGCAATGCTAACAATACATGTCAAGTATTGATGTTTGTAGTTTAGCGTGGAGCCATGATAATGGATAGCATTGTACGTAACACAACCCGCACAGAGCATAATGTCAACCACCATACCATACTACGAATGTTTTAGCTTTCAAGGTGGTTACACAAATGTTGCTGACGTTATACCATGATATGAATTTTTTTCACAAAGAAAAGTACGTCATGTGGGCTATACTATAAATACAAGCCTTGGTTCAAGCTCAACTCAATTAGCTTGCATCCTTCTCTACATACATGCCCAAAGCCAGTTTTGATTTCCACATGAAGACTATCGAATATGACATGTTACAGGAAGCAAATTCGACTTTATTAGAACATGTTGATCAACTCCTTGGAAGCCCATTTTCAACCAACTCATCCCCTTCTTATTCATACATCCATTCAATTATAAAGAATCCTTATCATGCAACAACATTCAAACTCGTGTAACCAACAGCAACGACCAACACACAGCTTTTGGATTATCCATGGTATTATTATTGATACAAAAGATCCCTAGGTTCGAAAGCGAATAGGCACCTTGATGAATGTTTGAGGAGTAGCTTTTCCATGCACCGATGGCTCGTCTTGGGGTAATAGCCCACCACGAAGATTGACCTATTTGACGATGGTCGATGAGCCATGTTGTTGTTGAGAATAATCAAAGCATGACCTACCTGAAGGGATGGATGAATGAATCTTGGCACTCGTAATGTGGCATCTCGTTCACTTCTAAGCTTGACGTATTCATCCATGCTCTTTTCTTCATCGATCATCTTGTTGAGCTTCTTGTGTACACCAAGGAGGGTCATCACCATATGCTAAATCCATCATCATCAGCATGTCGCCATGGCAACCATACACCACCATTTGAGCACTTACCGTTCTCAAGCTAGTAGCAGGAGGATAATCATGCCCAACATAAATGCGGGTACCGTTCGGCCATAACTTGTACATTTTGTGGATGCTGGTATACATTTGCTCGGCACTACCACCAGGAAAATCACAACGAGCAGTACCAATATCAGGCTGTAATAGAAAAACTTGAGATTCAGTCATTTGAGGATATGGATTATAGAGTTGCCAGTCATTTTCATACCATAAACAACGTATCGCCAACAAAGGCTGCATCACCGATACGATAGGACATGCAAGCAGGTGTGTGACCAGGAGTAGCAATGACGCTGCAATGGATCATGTCACCAAGGGTCCAAGTATCATCTTCTTTGACAAGTCGATCAAAATGCTCCATTGTAAATGCAGTGGGTGGAAGATTGTATCGCTCAAGAAAAGTCTTTTGGACCTCGACCACGTTGCTGCCAATACAAAACTCGGGCTATTCGTGATATCGTCGTATCAGTAAAGAGTGGATACAAGCTCATTTTCGAAACATACATTGGAGGGTAATTGTTCTTTCAGGTATATCGCAGCCGTTAAATGGTCCTATTGATTGTCAACGTTTAGTATGATGATATGTATTCACCCACTCATACTTACAGCATGCACATGTGTGTCAATGATTTTGGTGACGTTGAGGCCAAAACGGTTGACATGTTCAAGGATCAGCTTGGCTGTGCGAGGTTGAACAACGGCATCCAGGGGATCATAATCCAATACAGGGTCAATGATATAGGTTTCCTTGCTCACTACATATCGAACGTGGTTACTATGACGCTGTTGATCCATTGTTGGGTTGAGTTTTAACCTACCGATATCGGTAACAATGTATTGTGCTGTTGCCGTCTCATGCTCAAAGATGGTGTGAACCCAGGGCGAGTGATCGTTTGCATATGTTTTGATTGGGAGACGATCATCCGTCCATTGATTGAGACCACCAACAACATTGTAGACGTCGTTGAATCCTAGTTCCTCGGCAGCGTATTTGCTCACAATCCCACTTCGTCTTCCAGATCGACAATAGATGATCACCTGATACAAGCGTGTCAACCTTATTGTATATGCATGATCTTCCCCCTCCAATTCATATCATTCTTCTTCTCTTACTGTTGCTTCTTTATCGACAAGATCAATCAATGCTGCTGTAAACATGTCGCGGTTGCTTTCGTAAACGCTGAAGGGGACGTTGTAGCTGGCTTCGATCTTGCCAAAGGTCTCAATCTCATGGCGTTCTCGCACGTCGATGATTTGCACTCGGTGACAAGAGTATAGACCCAATTCTTCAATGCGTTGATAAGCTTCGAGAGGTGTAATGTCTTTGACAGTGAGGGTCATTGTGGAGTTGTGGAGGAGTTGTTGGGCTCATGTCGATAAGGGAAGTGAAACAAATATAAGGAAGAGGAGAGAGATCGGTGTCTGGGATTCGTCGGATCGGAAACGCGCCATTCCGCGTCAGCATTGCTAATCGTTGCGTGTGCGTTGTGGAGGACTTGTGAGACATTACATATGATTGGACGTTCAACCCTCTAAGGGAGATCTTTGTCAGCTACATCCACCCCCACGTTATCACACGATGCATGACGTTAGCAGTTATCATCATCATCACATTACTATGAGAAGGTCACTCCTGATATTTCTCTTGTACGACATTATACGAGAAATCCCCATCCTTTGAACATGCGAATCGAGATCCCATATTGATGCATTGTTGCCTTTAATTACCTGAATCACTCATGGCTGGCAGCAACTCTTTTCCATCATCGACATACCACAATGATTTACATCATAGGATTCTTCTACAAGAACATCCAATCCAATCCCCTTCACGTGCTTTGAATGGCCTCAATTTTTACGCTAAGGTCGTATCTTTTATACAATGGTTGATGCATAAACAGGCATCTATGCGATCAAGTTTCTTTGCGGATATAAATGATTTCAAGGGGGCAAGCGGATGAAAGAGGAAACAAGGGGGGAGGAGGTAGATGTGAATATTGTACAAAGAGAGTGGAAACATATGGTATTGATGATGCAAGGGAAGGTGGAAGGGCATGTTGATGCGTGCGTGTGGTGTATGTGAAAAGAGAGATCAAAGGGGGGTTTTGCTGCCATCATTATCGAACGCGTTGTCCACTTTCCCTACGGTTGACCAATCCTTCCTCTAAATCCGAGTCGTCGTCGTGCATGTCATGTAAACCAACGGCATCCTCAAATCCAGGTTCGTTCAATAATCGTTGCTCATCCTCGTCTTGCGAAGTGATTTCATCCTGGGCGCCAGCGCCACGTGCAATTGAATCCAAAAGATATACACCAGTGAAAATGATAACGAAACCAGAGATAAGAGAAATGACATAGACAGGGCTGTCAACATTAAATCCTTGAAAGAGAATCGTAGACGCAGCAATGGTGGCAGTCGTAAAGCATACAAAGTAGATGGGGTTGACACTATAATCCTTGTAAGCATATACATCGTAGTGGTACTACTACTCATTTCATCCTTCTTCCCTACTTACACATTGGTCGAGAATTGCTCCAGTGCCTTGTTAAAGTAATTCATCTGTGTAACAATACACACAGCAACTACAATGCCGAATGCATAGGTCGATGGATGAGTGAATTGATTGTTGCCTGCAAACGTCAACTTGAGAGCAATGCCGAAAGCCTTGATTGCCATGACCGATACTGATCCAACCAAAGAACAAATGGATATGTAGACAAATGGGTTACGACGGCCATATTTTGGAACCACCAAGTAAATCATTGCCAAGCTAATGATCAAAACCAAAGCACAGTAGGTCATGAAGCCTATTCCCATCCTGTATATGAGCTCTCCACTCTTCCATTTGTTAAATGCCTTTTTGTTGTTACTTACCTGGTTGAAGAGCGTAAAAGAGCAACTCATCAATCGATGTCACATTCTTGTCTTCAGGGGCATGTAATACGACAACCACCGCACCGACCACTGATAGGAGACATCCCACTCTACCAATCGGTCCCAGCGTCTCCTTGAGGAATATGGATGCAAAGATAGCACTATGAACAATCAATCACCCTTATTAATACGCAATCCAATGACTCACACGCACGCGCATAAGCTTACCCAAGAATCACACTAAGTGCACCAAGTGGTGTAACGAGAATAGCCGGTGCAAACGAGTATGCTGAAAAGTTCAAGACTTCGCCTATCGCCACTATGATCAACGCCACCATACCATACCATACACACGGTAAGTACTCCCAATACTTGACTTGAAAACCATACAACAAACCTACTTGTTCCCATGCCAGCCCACCACGTCCAATTCCGAAGATAGTGATGCTTGCCATCAACAGCAGAAGTACCTAGCGATCCTTTAGATTAGCTTGTTTATAAAAAAGAGAGAGAGCCTTCCTTGAGCTGATGCGTTACCATGTCGCTTTTGGGTCTTCATGAGACCTTTTTTTGTGATAATGAAGGAGAGACCGATGAAGACACTGGAACTCATGGCGAGGATGAGACCAATATACTTGTCTTGAATCATGACGACGCGATGAAGAGGAAAAGAGGAGGAAGGAGTGGAACGGTATGCGTGAAACAAAAAAGAACGAGAGGAAAGAGATCAAATGCACACAAAACCAATTAGGGCGAGAACTTTGATTTTCTTTTGTTCGCAGGATTTAACGTATTGACATGTTGCTATTTTTAGACATTTAAGTGTAGAGCTCATCAGTGAAGTCGCTGATGAAGGGGATGGATCCCTTTTGTAAGTCTTCATCCTTGAGGAATTCAGTAGGGAACTGCACCAAATGACCACGTACACGGCCCAATTGCTCTTGAATGATCTCAACTGGCATGTCAGGGTCACCCACATGGCCAATATCGATCTTGCTACTATCAGGATAGAATTGCTTATATTGATCCCAATTCACAACTAAGATGTTCTTGTATCAGTAAAATGCCCATTTACCCCATGCTATGCTATCATCTTACCGGTATCATCGGGAACGCACTGGAAGACAGCTCTAAAGATTTCAGTGTTGGTACGAGCAACATCATTCCACAAGCCAAGGGTTTCCTCGCCCAAAGGATCCATGACAAGACGATCTTCTTCAGATTCAGTGTTATCGATTTGGGGCACAGGAAGAGGCATCATATCCTCCTTCACGTCATCAAGAGCACGCTCTTCTCCAAGAAGACCAAGATGCTCCTTCCAAAGCTGTCGACGGAGTGTGGCGGCAAATCGACTTGCTTCATACTATAATAAATCCCCAGTTAATTAAGTGCGATCGACAATTTCAGGAACAGCTTTCTTCTTTTTCCTCAGCCTCCTTTTTACTTTATCCCCCAACCCCAACATTCCCATTACTTACATAGCGGCCATTCATTTGCGAAGGAATCATGTCTTGATCTTCAACAATCAAAGCAATCTCAGAGTCACGATCACCACATTGAGAACGATCGTTAAGGTTGGCTGAGCCCATAATCACCAAGCGGTCTATTGTTATTTGATTATGAGATCAGTACAATCCCCGATAATGGTACATGTGGTACAAATGTGGCACAATGACTTACCATCCACAATCATTAGCTTGGCATGGATATAAAGCTCTTCAGAAACAAAGTCATTGTTCTTGAGACCACCTTGCTCATCACCTTCCTCAGCAACACGAGTGTATTCGACTTCATCCTCAACGTCGTTAGTGTAGCCATCGACACGAGCCAAAGCTTCTTCAACCACCTTACGGCGGATCACATCATGGCTTCTCAAGCTGTAAAAGCCAATGTAGTCGGCAGGATCAATATCGGCTTCTTGCAATCTTTCCATGATACTCTTGCCACCTCGGCAAATGGACATGTATTGATAGCTCATGACCATTCTATTTGATTTACAAGGTTAGTTGCATGTTGCTGATCTTTGTAAAATAACGACTTTTTACCTTGCGGTAGCAGCAGCGTCTGTGCTCAAGTCTGCAGGGAAAGCAGGCATCAGGGGCATCAACACGATCACGCGGAAAGGCTCACGTTCCTCATGGGCACGGATAATACGCTTGACAATGGCATTGCCAATTTGGTTCTTGAGCACATAGTCTTCATCCTCTTCGGTAGCAGTGACTACACACAAAACATCATTAATAAATGCTTACATACATGATCACCTTTTAAATGTACTCACTAAAGAATTGGTTTTCAATATAAACAAAGTGCTCAGCGCTGAGAATAGAGGAGACGTAGGCATTTTGGATCGAATGCTCGGTTTCATCAACACCCAAGCTCCATTCACCAACGCTACGAAGCACTTGGGTGCGGCAAGTGCCTTGGATGTCACGTGTACCATGCATGAAGCGGTGAGCTCTATGGGCAGGATGATCATCATCTTCACCAGGAATAGAGAAACGTTGATGATGACCGAAGCCACCAAGTGCAGGCTTCAAAAAGAGCACACGCTCATCATCCATGTTCTTTTCATGCTTGATGTAGTTCCAGCGCTCACAAAAGTGTCGGCTCACATCGAGAACCGGACCACCCAACTAAAAAAGAAACCCGGTGCTTAACAACGCGCTATTTCTTTGTTGCGTAACCTATCACACACACTTACCATACAAAGCGAAATATCGTGCCATGGCATTCTTGGGGTAGTGGTCTTGTCAATCAAGCGTCTATCCCAGTTTTCCACTATCATGTATGTAAGTCTATTTGTGTTTTGGCATGCAACGTGTAAACATAAACATACCATCCTCGAAATCACGAACACGTGCATCATTGTAGTCTTGGCCTGAAATAGCAACATTTAGCATATGCATGTTCACACAGCAAAAGCACCACCAAGGTTACCTGGGAAAATCTCCATGCCAGTGCCATCATTAAAGTCAGCCAAACGATGGCTATGGGTATCCCAGCGACTATAATTATGATCTCGTCAATAAACCTCTTTCCAATGTAAATCACCCATCATCATCATTCATCCTACCCATAGCAAAGATCAAGACCACCCAAGAATGCAATTTGGTTATCAACCACAATGTACTTGTCGTGGTGAGACCAAAAAGCGTTTCTTCCCTTCAAGCTGAAATCAGGTGATCGTTGCACTATAAACACGCACACGCACACAATGAGCACTCTATCCTTTATACGTGTCATCTTCGTTTGCCTTACCAACAATGTTTTCATGGAGGCCTTCCAAGACGTTCTTGGTGTGCTCACTGTTGATGGTAAGAGCAAGTGACACTTCCTGAAATTTTCATGCAAACCAAAAGATGCATCAGCCAAGCCTTGCACTACCCTGCTGTATGACCATCACCACCACCACCTTTTGTGTTTTACATTACCTTGTACACGACTACAAAGATCTTGACACCTTCCTCGGCCTTACGCTTGAGCAACTCGTCGATACGATACTCAGGGTACTTGGCAGGAGGTCTGCGGAGATACTATCATACATACATACATCCCAAAGAGCATGAGCAAAAAGGAACTTGCAAGTGAGCCTGTTACTGTATAACGTTACCAACTCGGGAGACTAAAGACACCAATCCCGAAAAAAGATGTTAGCGTGTGCGTGCATGTGCCTTTGACGTGGGGGAAGAACTTACCAACCACCAATCCTCGATGAAAATGACATGGCGAGCATTTGCAAGAGCTTCGGAGACAGCCCTTTTTTATGCCAAAGTGTTAACAAACGCTCTATAGCTATGTATTTGATCCTATACTACATTACCAGAAATAATCATGGCCATCAATAAAGAACTTTACTTTGGCATCATGACGCACAGGAGCAAAAGATCCATGACGATGATAAGTTTGGCTAAGCTCTTCTTCGCGTTGCTCTTCTTCGTCGTTGCCATCAAAGAGGTCTTGGACAAGGTTGACGAAAAAAGACATGTTGAGTGGGAAAAGAAAGGGGGTTGAGGGATGCTACCATCTTTTTCGTCTCGTCTTGATGCTCTTATAGCCAATCCCCGATATTCTGCCGTGTAACAGCCTGTGGTACAGAAGAGCATCTCGTCGTCGTTGACCTGATTGTGCGAGCATGCACACAATATGAGGCCCTAAATTGACGCGCGTACCTTTGTTGGTCAAGAAAAAAATGACGCTACTACTGTGGCGGATGTTCTTAGGCATCAGCCTCATATATCGGGCCGTGTGCTTCTTTCTTTTTTCGGTCACCTAACCGTCAACCTTTGTTGCACGGTGTTCTTTCAACAGCACTGCTTCTCTTATCGCTGATTGTATTGTCGTTTCTTGGCAACAGCGTAACCAAGGCAACCGTTTCCATGGATGCATACTTGTGATTGATATAGGTGATACAATAAAGTCGTTGTCTATTGCCATAGGTGCCTTTTATGTCCCTAAAGGAAAAGGTCAGCATCATCCATCTCCATCATTTACATGACCGATAAAGAGCTACAATGCAAAAACGGTTTTTAATACATAGACACATAATGTTTCTCTAATCATAAAAGGTATACATATAATACAAGGCATCACTAGATGAGAGCATCAGCTCTAGGAAGGAAGCGTACATGGAAGTGTGGCGGGAGAATGATAATACCGCCGTCACGTGGTGCATCCAAATCCGGCATCACAGGCTTGCCCTGATCATCGAGTGCTGGCTCCAAGGTGCATCGAGCAAATATACGCACCAAAACGTTAAACATTTCCACCTCGGACTATACACATACGAAATAGATGAGCCTATGTAAGCAATCCTTCTCTGTATCTATATTTCTGCTGCTGCTGCTGTTGCTGCTTACCAAATGAATACCAGGGCACACTCGTCGACCAAAGCCAAATGTAAAATGATCACGCTCTCCATGTTTACAATTGGCAGAAGCTGCCATCGTCTTTTCATCTCCGAAGAAACGCTCAGGAATAAACTTGTCAGCATCAGGGTAAACCTCGTTGTCGCTGTGGATGGCGTAAATTACGGGGTAAACGACCGATCCTTTTGGGAAAATGTAGCCATGCGATTCAACTAGATTGACAATGACGCATGTTAATCATCACGCTTTCACATTCCTTGATCAGCAAAACCCTTACTATCTTTATCGATCTTGTGGAAAAACACAAAATGGGTGGTAGGTCGATAACGCATGCATTCTTTTTGGACGGCGTTAAAGTATGGGAGTTCTAATCGTTCCGAAAACACTGGGTATCTCTTATGCTCGCTGATAAAAGCATCCACTTCATGGGATAGTCGCTTGCATACATCGGGGTGGTGTACAAGGATAGCAAGCATCCATCCAAGTGTGGCAGCAGTTGTATCCGTACCTCCAATAATCAAGTCACCTAGATACCAAGATCATGAGTACAATGCTACATGCCTTGTTACGTATAACACTTACATGCCGTTACCATAATGTCATCATCATCAAGGTCATATTTTCCTTTGTCTTCAACCAATCGCTTAACTAAACAATCACGTTCTCCTTGGGCTGCATTGTTGATCAAGGGGTTGAATAATGGATCTCTTCTTTCTTTGACAAATCTTTCAAACGTATTGTTGCGTCCAAGCAGGGTATCCACAAATGAGAGTGCTGGGAAAATAGAGCCAACGTCATGATAAGGACCACCGAGTAAAAGGACTTCATTGATAAAGCTATCCATCTTTTGGAAGAGTGGATCCTCTTCTGATGTTACTCGCGTGCCAAAACATGTATCCAACAAGTAGTTAAGAGACACCTTTCTCAAGGGCTGTTCGAGCTCAATGCCTTGTGAAACACCACCCTTTTGTAACAGCTCATCCACCAAAATGTCGGCTTCAGCCAAATGCACGTTGCTATACTCGTTTACCATTTTGGGCGACAGGATAGTAAGGGCTGCAATGTATATTACTCAGAACCTAGTTCATGCGTTTTCCTGCCAATTCCGACATACCTGCCGATCTTGCATTTTTCCACTTTTTGTTGGCGTCCGAAAGGAGAATACCTCTGAGAGCAAGTTGTTAATGAGATCATCAAAGCCTTGCATACCCACTCCTTACTTTTTGTTAAGTGCATAGTATCCTGAGGCATAGTTGAAAAATGGTCTGCTGGATGCAACCGCACCATTACGCACCAAGACATCTTGGATGATATCCAAGTTGCTCACGAGGATCCATTCTTGCGCACCCAAGTTAACTCTCAACACTGGTCCATATTCTGTAAGCCATTTCTTGAATGTAAAGGCTGGCATGCTAGTATCAAGAGAAAGGATATGGCCTATGGGTTTTGGTTACTTAGTCTCCTTGTTATAGAATGCACATATGGGTGGGTGGTGTAAAGGTAACGACGACATACCAAAGAATGGCAAGCGACCAGGGGCCGTGGGGATGTTGTCTTTGGGACCTTTTGAGTTACTGCTAGACCTGATAGCATAAAGAAGCGCACTTGCTGTGGCAATAGTGGCTGCTGCAATCTTCCATTCACGAGACAAGGTGCGTAGATCCATTTTTGGTGGTGGGAGAAAATGAGAAAGAGAAAGAGTATATAGGATATGAGAAAACGAGATGGCAATAAAAGGTATTGATAGCGAGAAAAAGAAGCGAATGAGAATTCGAGAAAAAAGTGATGGGCAATACATGGGCGTACAAGAAAAGGGTAGCACAATATGTGTGTTTGCATGCGAACCCTGGATTCACGTTTTCCCCCCTTTGTGCACAGTCCACCTCAGCCCCGGATGCCTTGCTCCGTTTCCGGTCCAAGAAACTTACCCAATGAATAGTCTCATCGATAATCCCCCAATGCTGAGGATCGACGTTGGATATTGCTGCTCTTAATTGTTATCTTATTGACGAATAAACGACACCGGTTGTTGCCGTGTAACACTATTACACGATAAAATGCTGTGTGACACCAGCAGCATACGTGTTGCTAATGGCAGCACAGTCGAACCATATTCCTGGGAGATCATTGGTTGATCTATTTGGTCCTAGATGATGATCATCATCTAGAACAAACATGCCCTTAAGGCGATTGAAACCTCCGTATACAATCGTTTCAAAGACAAGCAATTCAACTTCCTCATAAAAGTTGCTAAAGCAAAGGGACGCTCTTTGGAAGCATTGTCTGTGCTGCAATTGCCATCATACATCGTACGACTTTTGCGTACTTTTCAAACACCTACCATGTGCTATTTACAACAAGGAAGGCATAAAAGATAAAAAGCAAGTGGCATGTATTCAAGGAAAGGGGGTTGCATATTATTGGATTTGCTCCCCATAAAGCCACTCTCAGCCATAAGTCTACAACTTTGTAGAGTCAACGTGATTGATACAACCAGCATCTTAGCAACCCACACACAAGCTTTAGTGTTTAGAACACTATCATGGCGGATTTGTATGATACTTTTGGATCCTTTTTTCACATGCCCGCCTTTAGTGCAACCGGCCCACACCTTTTTATATGCTAACACGGTCCCAAATCCTCGGATCATATTGGCTCTTTAACAACTCTGAGGACGCCTTCCATTATAAAATGCTTGTACCGATATCTTATGGTTTGCTGGTCACCCATGGCAAGCATCTTATCATTCATCCTTTGGGTGTGTCATGTTCCTAACCTTTGGATGTTCATTTCTCGGTCGAATAAAGCCATCGTTAAAGAGCTCTTACGCATCAACGCAATCATCTACGTTCCTTGGATACGACCATCATATGATAGTGCTGACTACAAAGTAATGGCTTCTTCTGGTGGCGGCCACCGTTGCCGTGTATTTTCAATCTCACTGCTGCATCTGCTGCATGTTGATTCGGTTTGGCGGATTGATTTGGGGGGTATTTCTATTACTATATTGTCCGACTATGGGTTACCGAACCTAGAAGCGGAGGTGACTAGTTGTTCTCAACACGGAGTGGTTGAGATGCATCTACTACACATATGCCGAAGAATAGCCTATAGCATGCTCTTTATTTCTCGAATGCAGTCAAAGGAGGAATACATGCATCATGGTTTTGAAGAATGAGTGAACAAGGTCCACCCAATAAAAAAGGTCTGCATGAGCATGATGATAATTAAAATGTAGAGGGGGCCCATAATAATAAACATCACTTCTATCTTGGCGTAACAAGTCCCATCTTCGGAATGCTGGTAGGACATGTGTTATCGGGAGTAAGGTTGTCGGAATCAGGAACAAAGTTTGAGCACGGCCATATTCATTGCTAATAAACCTTCCCATTTCAATGCGGTAGTACATGCATTCCAAGTTCGAGATGCTTCCCATCTTGTGCTTCTAAGTATAATTTTAAGCATCATCATCAGCTGCCTAGGAGCAAATGAAGGTATGTGAGGGATACAAGGATTTCGTTTTAGCCGAGTGATCAGGCTTGTTGTGATAGAAGAGGGGATAGTAGATTCAGCAGTGGCAGCCTTGTTGTTGATGGTGGGGTTTTGTGACGATAGTGTGTATTCATTATACTCAAAACAAGCTCTGAAAGCTTATCGTTTGTCGTGCTTGATAATTAATTCAAGTACAACTTCGATAGGGGAAGCTTAAAACGTCGCACATACTCGGGAACAGGTGTTAGAAAGTGGCACACATATACTAAAAGTGTTCTTGTTTGCATGATTGCTAAAGCCTAATAGTCATGGAAACATTGCCATAGTAACATGGTTGCCATGGACAACCATGTTAAGTGCTCAAGGTCTTTCATGGTCTAGGAGCAAGATGATCATCCTTAAGCTGTTGCCTGGATACATTTGCCATGGCAATGAGTTGAGCAGAGCAGTAGCCATAAAAAGAGGAGACGAGTCTATGGGTGCTCATTGTTCGAGCAAAAGAGAGCTGAATCGGTAAGGACATCGTGTATGTGTTTATTGATGTCGACGTCTATCATTTTGTGGATGGGTGGATGATCTTTTGGGTACCAACTTTCTATCCTCATACATATGGCTTTATCCTCTGCTTCTTTGTACTTGATACCCTATGCAGATCATGTATCAGCACAATCAATGTATACTTGACTCTCCCCCCTGAAGCCAGCAATAAAGTGAAAGAGAAGATAGCGGTATCAGAGTACTTCATGAAGAAGGGCTTATCGTCGCGCTGCTCCTGCAAATACTATATGCTTTGATCGTTTTCATTGAGTACAATTAATGGAGTAATATTGAGGAAGACGTATGGGCCAGCAATGTAAAGTAGGGTCGAGTTGAGTGAAGGAAAATGAAAAGCGTCATGCATTGATAAGCGCCACTCCAATTACATTTTAAGCCAATGACGTCGTCTTGAATCTCTCGAATCGCTCCACCTACCCACACCGACCTCCTCCATCATAAGGATAAAACATTCAAGCTAGTAGCATAGGGTACAACTTTGGATACGTCTTCTCAAAAGAAGTACTTGGTTAATGCATGAGCGATGAATGTGCTATAAACAAAGCCGTTTGGATGCATAGCATGGGTATCCACTCGTCTTCTTTTTATTCTTTAGCCCATCCATTTCACAATGGCGCGTAGGTGTTAGGAATCTCCAAGTTTTATTATCCACCAATAAACAAGATCAGAAGCTCCTGACATGTCATTTGATCGTTGCTTCCATAAGCAAAAGATGTACATTTATGCAACATGGCTTCATCTTGCCAAGGCTCCTCAAGTTTGCTAGCAAATCAAAGATGATGGGTACGAGCCTCATGCAAAATGGCAAGTTGACGACTTGCCAAAGGAGCATGATGATCGGTGTCACCAACACAAGAAGTTAGGTACGAAAGAAACAATCATGATCTCGTGAATGATGTCTGATTGATGGTGGCGTAACTAATTAAAGTCATTGTGGCGTTGCAGACAAAAGGATAGATTAAGAAGCGCACATGGTATGGATTAAAGCTCGGGCTTTGCAGCTTTCCGGACCATTAAAGTTCACTGTGTCACCCAAAACGATGTAATAAAAGAAAGGAGTAAAGGCAAATACCATTGTATTATGTCATTATTTCATATGTTGATAAAGATAGAGAAGCTATTGAAATAATAAAGAGGGGTAAAAGGTAGGTATTTATATATAGCGATCCATGATGAATGGATGGGTGTGAGGCAGTAATCATCAACGGATCACCCGCCAAGCCTGGAAGCTCTATTGAGGAACTCCGCAAGGTCCGGTGTCAAGTGAAAGCTCAACTTCAGTTACACCGCCCTTGGCTTTTTCCGTTGCAAACTCCAAGCTTCAGCCTCGTTGTCCTGTGTCCTGTTTCTTTCTTCTCTTGAACGCACGCCCATACACACACACACAACCTCATTAACGCTCTCAATTACTGTAAAGGTACAAGGAACATGGGGGAGCCACATGCCAAATGCAACGTTCGTGTCATGTGTAGGCTGACATTGCCATGTATTTTTAGCACGCATACTCGGCCTCGGTACTCGACAATTGAACCTATATTCTCGGCACCATGGCCTCTGCAACTCTATCCGACCATGTCTCTCAGGCATTGGACGTGTACACCAAAGGAACCAAGGCGTGGTTTGAAGATGACCAAGACGCTTGGGTGTCTGCATCGGTTGTCAGCAAGGAAGTCACCGATAGTTCCGTCAAGATTATCTTCCAAAACGATGAAGACGAGTCAAGAGTAAGCTTTTTTATTAATAAATGATTGAAGAGGATCTATTGCTTATGAAGGATGATGATCATCATAGGAACACGTCTATGAGTCGACTATCCAAAAGCTTGAGAAGTCTCAGGGTAGCGATTTGCCTCCACTCAGGAACCCGCCAAAGATGGAAAACACGGATGATCTCACGAATCTGAGCTATCTCAATGAGCCAGCTGGTAAAGCATTTATTGCAAAGGGATATAGATAGGCGGTTGCTTATATACAATGTTTTAGTGCTGAATACGATTCGTACACGTTATTCACAACGCAACATTTACACATACTCGGGCATCGTATTGATTGCAACCAATCCTTTCGCTCGTGTTCCCTTGTACGAGCCTGACATCATTCAACAATACTCGGGTCGTCGACGTGGAGAACTGGAACCTCACTTGTTTGCCATTGCTGAGGATGCTTATCGTTGCATGATCCGTGAAAAGACAAACCAAACCATTGTTGTCTCTGGTGAAAGGTATTGGCTTGGAAAAAAGGGAAAAGAGATACCAGTGCTCTGATAACCTCTTTCAAATAGTGGTGCCGGCAAAACGGTCAGCGCAAAATACATTATGCGTTACTTTGCAACAGCCGATGATCAAGAAACGGCGGGAAAAATAGCCAAAGACAATGCTGGCGGCATGACCGAGGTTGAAGAACAGATTCTGGGTACGTGGTTTATACATTCTAACCTTTTTCTCTTTACACCATGGCTCATTTCTCGCTACGTGTTTAGCCACCAATCCTATTATGGAAGCCTTTGGTAACGCAAAGACCACTAGAAACGATAACAGTTCTCGATTCGGCAAATACATTGAAGTAAGCATCCTATCAGGCTGGCTGGGCACGATTACTTTCATGCTTACGTATATATGATATGATAGATCCAATTCGACAAGGGATCCAACATTGTCGGTGCCAAAATCAGAACCTATCTTTTGGAACGATCACGTCTTGTTTTTCAACCTGAAACTGAACGCAATTACCACATCTTTTATCAGGTAGGAGGATGAAAATGGGAGGATTCAAGGGATGTGGATATTCATTCTACCATCATCATCGTCATTTAGTTATGTGCTGGTATCCCTGTATCAGAGCGCAAGGAATTTGAACTTAAGGATTGGACCAAGTTTCATTATCTCAACCAAAGTGGCACCGGCACTGTGCCTGGCGTTGATGATGCCGAAGAATTCAAGCTTACCAAGGATTCGTTGGACAAGGTTGGCATTTCGCTCCAAAAGCAATGGCAGATTTTCCGTCTTCTCGCAGCATTATTACACATGGGCAACATTGAAATTGGTGGACGCAACGACGCGACGCTTGCTGATGATGAGCCTTCTTTGCAAATTGCTACTCGATTGCTTGGTATCAAGGCATCCGAATTCCGTAAATGGATTGTCAAACGTCAAATCGTCACCCGATCCGACAAGATTGTCAAAAACTTGAACCCCGCTCAAGCACTTGTTGTTCGAGATTCAGTCGCCAAGTACCTTTACGCCAACCTCTTTGACTGGCTTGTGGATGTTGTTAATGAGAGCTTGTCATGCAATGAAGAAGGTGCTGTCGAGTCATTCATTGGCGTTTTGGATATCTATGGCTTTGAGCATTTCAAGAAAAACTCGTTTGAACAATTCTGTATCAATTATGCCAACGAGAAGCTTCAGCAGCAGGTATATGATCAAGCAGTGAAGAAGGATAAAAGGATCATTGTTTTTGCTGACATGTCCCATTTTAGTTCAATCAACATGTGTTCAAGCTTGAGCAAGATGTGAGTGCTTTCTCCTCCTCTTAAAAGTGTTCATTGTCATTGATACTAATTTTGATCTTTGTTATAGGAATACGTCAAGGAAAAGATTGATTGGCAATTCATTGATTTCAGTGATAATCAAGGCTGTATTGAAATGATCGAGGCTCGTATGGGTATCTTGTCATTGTTGGATGAAGTAAGACAAAGAGTATTGCAAAGCGAAGAAAAGGATCAACATCTGATCCAACCCCCCTTTTTCAAATAGGAATCACGGTTGCCCTCTGGATCAGATCAAGGATTTTGCGACAAGCTCTTTGCAAACTTTTCCACGCCCAACTACAAGAACTACTTTAAGAAGCCACGCTTTTCCAACAGCGCCTTTACAGTGGTCCATTATGCACATGAAGTTCAATATGAAGCTGAAGGATTCATTGAAAAGAACAAGGATACTGTACCCGACGAGCACCTTACTTTGCTACAAAGCGCTGATTCTGAATTCCTGGTTGAAATGCTCCAAAGCGCAACAGCTGCTGCTGCTGCTGTCAGTGCCCCTGCTCCCACTGTAAGTTACTTTTTCTAAGCATAAGGATCATTCGAATCTCATTCGTTTTCTTCCTGTAGTCCGGTCCTAAGCGCATGAATGCCAGTAAAAAGCCAACCTTGGGCTCCATTTTCAAGGTAATAAGGATGAAAACGAGATAGGATTCAGTGACTCACATTGATATTGGAATAGCATTCCTTGATCAGCTTAATGGAAACCATCGGGCAAACGAATGTGCACTATATCCGCTGTATCAAGCCAAATGAGGCCAAGGTGTCTTGGGTCTTTGATTCAAACATGGTGCTTGCACAGCTGCGTGCATGTGGTGTTTTGGAAACGATTCGCATTAGTTGTGCTGGCTATCCTTCAAGATGGACCTTCGAGGACTTTGCTGACAGGTTTGTATGCGTGAAGTTGTGATGATGGTTTGGGGGTTTGGTTTCTCATCTTTACATCGTTCCTAGATATTACCTATTGGTCAGCTCAGAGTATTGGGATCCAAACAAGAGCCCCGATATCCAAAAGCTTTGCACTGTCATCTTGGATACATGCATTAGTGACAAGGACAAGTACCAAATCGGCTTGACCAAGATTTTCTTCCGTGCTGGTCAAGTATGTCAATTGATATTTACACATCATTCAAAATGAGATACTCACATGGCCTTTCTTTGTTATAGTTGGCATACATGGAAAAGAAGCGTGCTGATCGTTGGAATGAATGCGTCATCCTTTTGCAAAAGAACATGCGTCGCTTCATCACTCGTATCCATTACATGCGCACCAAGGATTTGGCACAACGTCTTCAGCAAGTTGCACGACAAAGGGTGGCCAAGCGAAAGTTGGAATTGATGCGTCAGGAACGTGCGGTTGTTGTCATTCAAAAGTATTGCCGTGGTTTCTTGGCAAGAAAGCAATTGCAAAAGAGACGAGAGTTTATTTTACATTTGCAAGCAGGTATGTCAATGCATAAAAGTTGAGACGCATAAACATGTATGCTAATACGGGTTCTTATTTTCAAAAGCTTGCCGTGGTATGCTTGCAAGGAAATCATTTGGCAGCTTCCGAGAAAACAATGCCGCAACACAAATCCAACGCTTGTTCCGTGGCTGGTAAGATTGATGGATTTTGGTCTTGGGGGATGATGATGATGCTAAATGATTGCTTGCTACTCAACTCTAGGGCTGCTCGCAAACGATTTTTGGCTCAACGTCAGCATATTATCAGCGTGCAAACATGTGTGAGACGACGACTTGCCCAAAAGATGTTGATCAGCTTACGTGCCGAAGCCCGCTCTGCCACTCATCTCAAGGAAGTTTCGTACAAGCTTGAGAACAAGGTTGTCGAGTTGACTCAGACGTTGACGCAATCCAAGGATGAAAAGAAAGCGCTCGAGAATCAGGCACGACAACTTGAATCCCAAGTAGAGAGCTGGAAAGAAAAGTATGAGAAGCTTCAGAGCAAGTTGCAAGTGGTGGAAGAGCAACATGGTGAATCCAAGGGTGCACAAGCTGAATTGGATGCTTTGAAACAAGCTCATGAGACACTTCAAGAAAACTACAACACCGTGGTGGCCAAGTCTGAAGAGCAAGATAAGGAGATTGAACGATTGAATGCTGAAGTGACTCGACTCAAGCAACAACCTCCTCTCAAAGTGTCCACTGCTCTCAACAACAATGGTCGACCTCCACGTGCCGCTGATGAACCTGATGTTGCGGAGCTCAAGAACCAAATTGCAGCACTCAAAGCACAATTATCCCAAAGCTACAGAAATGCACCTCGTCGACAAGGATCACTCAGCTCTTATGCACGCAACTTATCACCCGTTGCCATGTCACCAACAAGTGCAAGACGTGGTATTTCACCCGATCGTGGTATCAGTCCTCGTGGTGCTAGCCCAAGAGGACGTTCGCCCACTGGTGCTATGGCCTCCTTCCGTCGTAACAGCATTGCCGAGACTAAGCGTCAACAACAACCTGGTGCAAGTGAAGCCAAGGTGGTCTATGCTGAACCAGAGCAAATGCGTCCCATGTCCATTGACCATATCAACACTTTGAGAGATGCTGATGTTAAAGGCAATCCCGAGGAAGCGGTAAGTGTGGTGGCGATAATGAATCCAAGTATGGTATGAGACTCATTGTTGTCTTTTTAGATGCATACCATTTTACGAGACGAACAAGTGCTTGAAAACGAGATTCTTGATGGCTTGATTCGCTCTTTGAAGATTATCCCACCCAATCCACAAAACCCACCATCACACAAAGAAGTTGTTTTCCCTGCACACATTATCGGTCTTGGCTTGACACAAATGTGGCGTTTGGGCTATCTTGCTGAATCTGAACGATTGATCTTTACTGTTATGGATACGATCCAGAACTTTTGCATGGTATGTTGGGGGTGGAAGCAATAGGGTCATATATACGTGTTACTTACTCAAAGTGTATAGGACTTTTCGGGCGAAGATACCATTGTACCATGTGCTTACTGGTTATCCAACACGCACGAATTATTGTCTTTGGTGTGTTCGACTGAACAAGAGCTTGAGCGTGAAATGCAATACAATGCTGTGCATGGTCGAAGAGCTGTTGGCTGGCATGATTTCGAAAAGCTTGTGTCGACTGTCAAGTTTGAATTACAATGCCTCGAGGACAACTTGTATCACCATTGGTTCATGCAACTCAAGCAGCGTGTCAACAAGATGATTATCCCAGCCATCATTGAACACCAATCCTTGCCAGGTTTCATTGTCAGCGACACCAACCGCTTCTTCAACAAGTTGTTGTCGGGATCCAATCAACCCGCTTTCTCTATGGACGACTTGCTCAACTTCCTTAACAAGATCTACCGTGCCATGAAGTTTTACGAGGTGGATCCATTGGTCATGGAACAAGGCTTGAATGAATTGCTAAAGTTGATCGGTGCTACCGCTTTCAATGACTTGATTATGCGTCGTAATTACAATTCATGGAAGCGAGGTAAGGGGTCACTTTTGTGTTGACAAATGTATACACTCACTAACCACTTTTATGATAGCTATGCAAGTCCAATACAACATTACGCGATTAGAGGAATGGTGCAAGGGCCATGGTTTGACTGATTCGATCGTGCACTTGGAACATTTGATGCAGGCTGTCAAGCTGTTCCAGTTACGCAAGGCAACCCCCGATGATTTGAGTATTATTTACGAAGCCTGTTGGCTGCTGACACCCGCTCAAGTACAAAAGTTGCTACAAAACTACCAGGTTGCCGACTATGAAGAACCTCTCAGCAACAATATCCTAGGCAACGTCGCATCAAGAGTAAGCAGCAACGACATTTTGCTGCTAGACAGTGTATCACTGGATGAGAGCCCCTACGAGGTGCCAGAGCCTAAACAGAATGTCGTCCCCGACACCTATGTGCCTGCTTATGTAAGTCATCATGCATGGATTTAGAATGCTTATGGAAGCTAACCACCCGCTCCTCCAATCTTTCTTTTTTAGCTCAAGCTCAAGCAAGTCCAACGTCTCATGGCATTGATTGCATTGACTGAACAGCAGAGGCCATATCGCCAGGATTCCCTTTAAGATGATATTATATTATATGTAAACTTTTTCTTCTTCTTTGTACCTTCTTGTTGTATCCACCTTTGTCTTTATCACTTGTGTATGTTTACTACAACTTGTTATTACCGCCCATAAAACACTCCCCCACTTTACAACATTTGTATCCAAAAAGGAACAGTAAATCTTGGGTTACACATAGATTACGCGCATGTTGCATTTATTCCATTTCATATCCTTCTTCTGCTAAATACACTGCCACAATGCGCATGCTAGCTTGTGCAACCATATCATTTTCCAGCTGGTCATCCGATGACGTATCTTGAACGAATTTGAGTAATTCCATGACGACGTTCATTGTATCCGTAAGCGCTGTTCTGATCTTGAGAAGGACTTCAGCATCCATGCCGCTGTCACGTTCCTCGTCATAATGCGAAGAAAGGTACTGGATAGCTGATTCAAGGATTTCATAGTAAATGGGAAGCATGATTTCTTGTCGCTTTTCCTTTTCTTCATCCACCTCCACTGCTTGCAAATTGTGTTCATTGAGTCGTCGATCATGGATATCATCCAAAATCACACGCGTTTCCACGGCCACAAGATGGATCAGTAGCTGAGGGAATTTGATGTCGGCTTCTGTGGCATCGGTAGTGCGATTGGAAGGCTTCTTTTCGCTACGTCGTCGAGATTGCTTGGTTTTCTTCAATGTGCCAAATAGCCAATCGGTATCAAAGTATCGAAGTAAACATGCCGTTGTCACCATGGCTTGATCTCTATACTTGTCACCTAAGCTATAGTATGAGTACACCCATTGCTTTTGTCTTTTTCATACCATAACATACCAAGCTTGGTAGTGAGTAATTGTCGAAGACCTGAACGAAGACCATCCAGCCAGCTGGATAAGTCCGATGCGTTTTCATCCTTGAATTTGCGTACAACCTTGTGATGAAGATGTCGTTAGTATACCCTCCTCTTTTCTTTTGTAAAGTATACCTCTGAAGGAAGATTAGGTAGAATACTGCTTAATAAATCGAGTGCTTCAAATTTGAGTTCATCTTGATGCTTGTCCAATAACCGAGAGAGTGCCGTGAATAATGTTGGGAGGGCGTATTTGAGTGCAGATGCCAAGCTGGGGATACGCGTTTCATGCAACAGGTGACATGCTCGGGCAAAAGTACCATGGATCAATTGTGTTCCTAGTTGTCGTTCTTTTTCTATAAAAGGGATGATGGATGTAAGTGTCATTGTGATCCTCGTGGGGACAAAGAATGTACTTTACGATTGCTCGTTTCTGCCACCAATTCCAAGATGTTTTTGAGTACATCGGGATCAAGCATGCGTACAAGGCCTTCCTTTGAAACAGCAACACACATCATGGTATGAAGCGCTTCTTGTGTTGTATCCGATGGATCACTAGTAGCTTATATTAATATCTCAACATGTTGGCATATGATTTCATGAGCCTTACTTTGCAATGAGAATGGTGGATAAACCAGGGATGCGATCAGCCATGGGTTGTGTTGCAGCCATCTTGTCATAATGAGCAAAACAAGCTAAGACATTCACAGCAATTTCTCGGAGAACATGGCCCGGTATTTGACTATCAGATCCATTGTCACTTGTATCTATCATGACATCGTTTATCAATATTCACATCATAGCCAATCCCCCCTCACTATAGACTTACTTGTACGCAATAGTCTTTCAATAAACTTAAAGTTCATGCCATCAAAGACGCGTTGCACTGACTCGGGCTCGTTTTGTTGTAAAAGGCGAGGGAGTAATAGCATACCCACAAACTTGGATTCGTCAGGTTGTGAAGGAGCGATAAGTGATAAACAACGATCGATCTCGGCCGACCGATCTTCAATGGAGCTTGTAATGTCTGTCATTGGTTGGGAGGAGGGTAGGTGTATGTGGAAGGGTATGTGCGTACTGTACAAAGGGCTGCTACCCAAAAAAGAGAAAAAGAATTTGCCAGGTATATGGTTGGCTGTGTGTTGGATTAGAGCGCGCGTCGGGGCCATTCTTCCCATTTTCACCATTGTCGGCATGATGGTGTACGACCGATCAAATCGATTGTTTCCATGGAATCACAAAGAAGTTGATGCTGTCAGGGACCTTTGTTCTCTTGCACTCACTCACTCGTTGTCTCTCTCTCATGATCTCTATCCGTTATCGCGGGAAATCTTATCCAAATTAAGTATCATTCTCCGGGCAGTTTGTAATTCTATCCGAGACCTCATCACTTTTTACATTATGTTTGTGCACACACACGCACGTTGCGCGTGTGCGTTGTCGTGGGAGGGGCCATTTCAAGAACAGGGGTTGGTTGCCATCCAATTGTTGGGTCAAAGAATAAAAGGCTGGCGGCCTTGTACAAATAAAAAGATAGAGAGGGAGCATCAACTGATTAATCTCGCGTCTTTCCCGCTCGCCTTCTTTTACACGCACACACACACACACACTTCTTTTCTTTCTTTGTTTGTTTCTCTCTCTCTCTCTTTCTTTCCCTCTACAATCCACAATGGCTTCCTCACAAGAAATGGCAAACACCAACAAGAATCTACGGCTCTTGGTGGTCTCCAACAGACTCCCTGTCACTGTTTCAAAAGACCCCACTACCAACAAGTACGATTTCAAAATGTCGTCTGGCGGTTTGGTTGCTGCATTGAGCGGTTTGAAGAAAATGATGTCGTTCACTTGGATCGGCTGGCCAGGTAACCTTATAGTTGTAGTGGTGGTAGTAGAGTTGTTCACGTTATCTTGTATTACTTACACAACAACGTACACGTGACAATAGGCAAGGACATCCCTATGGAGGATCGTAAAGATGTCGAGGATCGTTTATTACGTGAAACGTCGACCATGCCAGTATTCGTCGATCAAGAACTTGCTGATTTACATTACAATGGTTTCTCCAACAGGTATTGGGATGCATGGGGAAGGGGATTTTCTTATCACGGAAAGACACTGAACTTTATGCGTAGTATCTTGTGGCCGCTGTTCCATTACCATCCAGGAGAGATCTCGTTCAATGAAGAATGGTGGGAAGGTTATCAAAGAGTCAACCAGCAATTTGCCGATGCCATTGAACGTATCGTCGAGGACGGTGATCTCGTATGGATCCAAGATTATCATCTCATGTTGCTACCTGCCATGTTACGAAAGAAGACCAAAAAGGATATCAAGATTGGTTGGTTCCTGCACACTCCCTTCCCAAGCAGTGAGATTTACAGGTAAAATGAATGAATGGATGGGGAGTCATGAAAACATTGTATTTAACCTATCACTTTAGAATTCTACCTGTACGCAAAGAGATTCTTTTGGGTGTGCTTGAAAGCGACTTGCTGGGCTTCCACACGTACGATTATGCACGTCACTTTTTATCGTCATGTACCCGCATTCTCGGGCTTTCAACAATGCCGAATGGTGTGGAATACGAAGGAAGATACATTCACGTTGGCACTTTTCCCATTGGTATCGACCCTGACAAGTTCACTGATAATCTCAAAAACGTCCAAGTACAAGCACGTATTGCACAACTAAAGCAACGTTTCGGTGACTGCAAGTTGATTGTCGGTGTGGATCGTTTGGATTATATCAAAGGTGTTCCACAAAAGATGCATGCCATGGAAGTGTTTCTGAGTCAACATCCAGAATGGGTGGGAAAGGTCGTACTCGTGCAACTCGCTGTGCCTTCTCGTGAAGATGTCGAAGAGTACCAGCATCTGCGTAGCACAATCAATGAATTGGTGGGTCGTATCAATGGCCAATATGGTATGTAAATGTGTCTATGTGCTATAAGCAAATGGATGCTTATTCAACTTTTTAGGTACGGTGGAATTTGTCCCCATTCATTTCATGCATCGATCCTTACCATTTGATGAGCTCACTGCATTGTACGCTGCATCCGATGTGTGTCTCGTATCCTCAACACGTGATGGCATGAACTTGGTGTCGTACGAATACATTGCTTCTCAAAAGGACACCCATGGTGTTTTGATCTTATCCGAATTTGCTGGTGCTGCTCAATCATTGAATGGTTCGATTATTGTGAATCCATGGAACACTGAGGAAATGGCAAATGCCATCTATGAAGCTGTCACTATGCCCGACGACGTCCGAAAGGCCAATCATCAAAAGTTGTATCGCTATGTGACAAAGTACACGGCTGCTTATTGGGGTCTTTCTTTTGTCAATGAGCTAAGAGTAAGTACATTCAAAAGAGAGGGAGGATTTATTTTCTTATGCATGTATGTATATGTGTATTAGCGTATCAGTGAAGAATTCGGACATCGCATGTCAATCCCTGAGCTTAGCTTTGACAATGTTGTGAGCCAAGCCAAAAAGTCGACCAAGAAGAAATTGATCTTGCTGGATTATGATGGCACTTTGACAACCACACACAAGCTGCCCGAATTTGCCAAGCCATCACAAACCGTACTCGATCGATTGAAAGCCTTGGCTGCACAACCTGATACTTTTGTGTACATTTTATCTGGACGTGGTCGAAAGCACTTGGATGCATGGTTTGATTCGACAGGCGTGGGCTTATCAGCAGAACACGGTTGTTTTTACAAGCATCCTGCCAATATTCGTGACAAGATTGATCCAGCAGCGAGTGCAGCACGTGACGGCAAGGTGATCAAGGAATTGGATGGCAAATGGTATTGCTTGGTGGAACAAATTGATCCCACTTGGAAAGAAACGATTCGACCCTTGTTCCAACACTACACAGAGCGCACCCCTGGTTCCTTTATCGAAGAAAAGGAAATCAACCTTACATGGCATTATCGTAACGCTGATCCCGAATTTGGAAGCTGGCAGGCCACAGAGTTGCAGGTCAATTTGGAAAAGTTATTGAGTCACATGGCACTCTCGGTAGGTGGATGATGACCTTCTTGTTGTTGCTATTGAAACTAACCTGGTTGTTAATAGATTGTGTTGGGTAACAAGACATTGGAACTTCGACCTTCATCCATCGACAAGGCTACCGCTGTGCGTCATATTCTCAAGGACTTAGAGCTACCAAGCATTGATTTCATTCTCTGCGTGGGAGATGGCAAGACCGACGAGGTGGTATTCAGCTTGCTCAATGATATTCCTCATTCCATTACCAGCACCGTTGGCAAGAAACAAACCGAGGCACACAATTACATACCAAATGTTGACATGGTGAACAACCTTTTGGATCAACTCGGCAACATTTAAGACTAGTCATCCGCCGCGTGAGCATTGTACACACACACACACACACATCCGTTTTACATCCCATGATCATTTTTCTCATCATGTTACAAAATACAATTTATATTCACTCCCATGTAGCCAATAGGAAAATATTCTTAAACGTGTGTGCATATGTAGTAGAGTGGAGGAAGATCATTTACAAGAAGGGAAAGGAAAGGAAAGTGATGAGAGGGGGAAAGAGCATAAAGGAAAACATGTCATCTGTTTAGAGAAAATTGGTTGTGGTAGTAGTGGTTGGTATGAAATCATTACTATCCATGGGAAGAAATGTGTTGTTGTCCTTGTTGGATGATAGTGATGTCAAGAGCTCAGGTGAAGATATGGAAAAGTACGAGGCTGGGGATGATTCAGCGGGCGTGGTTGCCAATGTTAGAGCAGGTGATGCAAGGCCGTTATTATTGTTGTTGTTGTTGGTGGTGGATGCTGTTGTTGAAGGTGACGAAAGCATAAAGTCCCATGGTGATGTTGTTGGAGTGGGTGATGATAGAATTTGATTCATCGATGATGATGGTAATAATAAAGGTGATGAAGATGGATGTCGTGGCTGCTGCTCAGGAGGCAACCAACTGTTAAAATCAAACCATTGGCTATCGCGAATAAAAACTTGCTGACGTTCATTGTCATGTTGTAATGGCGTTGATTGTTGCACCAAGTCGAATGGGAAAACTTGGCCTGAAGTACCACAATGACTTTCAAGTAATCGGTCAAAGCTGGCTTGGGTGATTTGTAATGCATCAGCTGCTCGACGCAAAATACGCACGCTTTTGTCAAGATTATTCTGTGCAGTAAGGCCTTCCTTTTTAATCCTATCCACATGGATCGAGGTTGCCATGGTGAGCGAGATACCGAACAAATTGTAAAGGTAGGCTGATTCCTGTTCTTGCTCAGCCAAATGAACCATCGTGTTGGCTGCCATGATACGACTAGGCGGGTGCATCAAGATGAGCATCGTATAGTACAACATGTGAAGGATACGTGCAATAGGCGTCTCCTTGCCAAATTCCAAATAGGATGGTAAATGAACAAGCCATTCAGTCAAGGCACCATGTAATTGTTGTGGGGTTGATGTTGATTGTTGATGCATCTCTCTCAGGATGTGTGCAAGTTTGATCATCTCACCAAAGTTGGAAATCTGCAAGGCTGATTCAAAAGACTCGGATTCACCTACTGCTGTTGCAAAACGTTGGTGGCGTTGATCGATTGCATATAGCTGGCAATCTTCGAGACGTGGTTGTTCGGGATATCGTTGGTACAAGTCATGATGATATTGTTCACCGGTACATATAGCTAACCACTGATCCATTGTATAAATGACACAGAGGGCACGATGCATCAATTCGTTATGCACAATGGAATGGCCATCACTCGTAGTAGCAGATGACAGCAGGCGTGGTAAGAAATGGTTAGCCAAATGGCGACGTAGGGTGTTGCATTGTGTCAGATTCCCTGAAAGATAAGCACCCCAGCACATGATGGCCATAGCCTAAAACATGCCATATTGAATATTATGCCATGTGAGATATAACGTGTGTCATGTTTGTTTGTGCATCATCATTATCATCATACCTGAACCGTGGGCAGCAACAGAAAATGGCCCGCCGATGACCCGGCGTCATCAGACATCTCCATACACAGCAACTCTTGACACTTGTCAAACCATGCGTTACTTGCACGATGTTCACAAAGGTATCGGCTTCCTAGTGCATAAACGGCGTAACGTAAAAGTAATGCTTTTTGGTTTGATGTTGCTGCTGGATCTCCGATCGTAGTAAGCAGGTCGTGTATAAAGTGATGCTTGGATAGGATTGGAAACAAAACATTAAAGTACTTGAAAAAGCTTCGTGTCCATCGTAGCGCCTGATCGACATTGGGCACATTCTTCCCACCACCGTTATCAGCGGCACAAGGCTGAGTAAATGTTTCTTGGCTGCCCTATACAGATACATACACAAAAGGACCTTATCAGTGATCTGATTTCTCACACACACATGTATACAAATACAACACGTACAGCATACCGCCATTTGGTTTGGGAATTCACAGTGCTTGAAACCATACTAAGAATGGGATTACTACATTGCTCTTGTTGTTGTAGCTGCTGATCTTGTTGTTCTTGTAAAGAAGATGATGAAGATGTAGGGTCATTGTTGATGACGGGAGTATGATGGTGATGATGCTCATTGTTGCATACTACAAGAAAGAAATGCAGCTTGTACCCAACGATTTTCTTTTTTTGGAAGAGGAGGTACACCATTGTGTAGAATATAGAAAAAGATGGGAGCGTTACCTTTTCCCAATAGAGATTTGATGCGATGTGCACGATTATTGATGATCTCGACATGGCCTTTGGGAGGACCTCTCTTTTTAGGTGGATCCGAATATTGGCAATCGATGCCCATAGCATGGCAGCGTGCACATGTCGGCTGAACACCATTGCACTTGACCTTTTTCTTTCGGCACACAATACATGCTAACGTCACCTTGACCCTTCGAGATGATGCTGTTTTCTTGTTGTTGTTGTTGTTATTGGATGCTTTTGTAAAGGACTTCATTTCTCGGATGATAGGTACAGAAAAGCAAAAGAAAAAAAGACAAACAAAGAAAAAGAGAAAGAAGAGGAAGAGTAATGTGTGTGTGAGAGGAAGGGAAACAACCCAGTGCACGGGAAGAAACGTCTTGTGTGATTGCAATAAATATATCCACGGAACAAGTTCACCGATGCGTGAGTGATTTAAGTCGAGTAATGTGGTGCATGCTTGCTTTACCCGCCAGGGGTTGTTTCCTGATGATGGCTGGCATAGCATAATGTGATTGGTGTTTTTCCCTTTCCGCGGAGGGAAAGTGGCCCTGCACGCATTGTGTATTGTATAACCCTGATGTAAGAAGAAAGGCGGTTCTAGTACCTCTTCTTCTTCCCGCTCTCTTATTTTCTTCAAAACGTGGGGGCCACAATAAGAAACTCCTCCCCGGTCATCGATCAAGTACGTACATGGGGATAGTTTTGTTAGCATCCTGCTGCTAACAAGCTCAGATGATGAAGAATAGTAATGCTTTTATCACACATGATGATACACCCTCCAAACAGCTCATAAGCTAGTGTATGTAAATAAAGCAGTGGGCATAGATCGCCTTTGCATCTTGTGTGCTCATCTATACATGCGACTAAATTCTGTAATGCCGAGCCCTGTGGTTGTGTTTCTATATACATTACACGCATGATCGTCGTTTTTTATCTTCCCCAAAAAGTTTGCACAACACCAATGTACCAATACTATCGGCTCATGAAACGATAAAAAGAAAGACATTGTGGGGTAAGCTCCGTACTACCTAAAATGCGTCGTGCTACCTAAACCTCAACGTAACCTTCCTTTTTGCCAACAGAAGCATTGATTGATTCATTCTCGATACATTGATCCATCATCATGGTTCAGCTCTTTTTTTAGAGTTGTCTTCTTGCTTTGGGATCTAATAATATGACAATGCTTTTACTTTTAATGTCCTTGTCATTCATCTTTTTTTGCTACATGCATGTGGATGGATGGTTGTGTGTTGTGTGTATCCATAACGTGTCTCGACCCCAGCATTTAAAATAGTAGCCAAGCAACTGTAGAGCACAGCACGCCATAAAGTTGCACGCATTGGCCGCACCCAAGAATAAAGTCCGCAGTACTACCTCGACCCTTTGCCGCCGTATCTTTCACCCACACCTCATTTCTGCCCATGGCCTCCTTTCAAGATCTCTTGGCCGACATTAGCTGGCCATGGCAGCTTATCTCGGACATTATCGGTTGGGTAGGTCACCTCACACACGCATTGCACTGCTTTGCTTAACGACATTGTCTAGGTTTACTTTCTCGCATGGTCCATTAGCTTTTACCCCCAAGCCATTCTCAACTATCGACGCAAGAGGTAGGCCACCATTATAACATGGGCATGTAGATACAACGGCTCATATCGTTTTATTCTATCCAGTGTGCAAGGCTTGTCTATGGACTTTTTATACTTCAATGTGCTTGGCTTCTTTTGCTACTCGGTATGGGTTTGAGCCTTATCGCTGGGCTGGATGTTGCCAATGGACGACTCACAGGATGATGATGGTGATAGGTGTTCAATTTATCATTCTTTTTGAGCAAAGAGATCCAAGATGAATGTAAGGACATGAAGGGATTCCAATCACGCGCATATGTGTTGACACGTTTTTTATATAGATCGTGAGAGGAACAATGGCCAAAATAACCTCGTCCGCACCAATGACGTCTTCTTTGCCGTTCACGCATTTCTCATATCGTCGTTTACATTGACCCAGACGTTTATGTATACGGTAAGTAGACCTTGGCCAAAAGGAGAAGGAGTTGGTTGGGCTGATGATGAGTAATCAATCCATGGTATGATATAGAAAGATGAAGGCCAAAAGATATCATCTCCAGCAAAGCTTTTGATATGCGCTTCCATCATCGGTGCATTCCTCTTCACCTTGGCCGTCGAATTCCAATTTGCCATGTGGATCGATCTCATGTACTATCTCAGCTATGTCAAGCTTCTGGTCAGCATTATCAAGTATTTGCCTCAGGTAACAATGAAATGGTGTGATAGGGTGACGCCATGGCGTGCATTGACACGAAAATGAAAAATTATAGGCTTGGATCAACTTCCGACGCAAATCCACCGTGGGCTGGAGTATCCACAATATTCTATTGGTAAGCTTTTTGCTGTTGTAGCTATAGGTAAAATACCAGGATTACTCATCATGTCCACGTGTGATAGGATTTCACGGGTGGCACCCTTTCTGTGGCACAACTACTTTTGGATTCGTATCTCAGTGGAGATTGGAGTGGTGTTTCTGGGGTAAGTGGTGGTATATGTGTGTTGTTGGATATAGAACATCTTTTCTTACGTACGCTATTCGATTTAGGATCCTGTCAAGTTGTAAGTTGTTTATATTATTGAAGGGAGTGGGATACTAACAAGATGGGTGATAGTGGTCTCGGCTTTGTATCCATTGCATTTGATCTGCTTTTCATGACTCAGCATTATATCTTGTACCGTGATCGCACCGACTACTATCTCAGCTCAGTGGACGAAGAACGACGACGGCTCATTGTTGAAGGACGTGTCCCCCGAGAAGAGGATGTAGAATAGCAACATATACCAAATCTATCAAATACAGCAATCCGTTACGTAGACTTTTTGTGCAGAAACAAGCTATTGCATAAAGCGACTACCAAACTTGGATCAGTTAACGTATGCGACTTCTATATTGGGTTGGATTGTGTCACATGAAGCAACGTGCGTTGCGGTGATGGTACATGTCAGGATCAGAAAATTTTCATGAGAATGGGATCAATGGCACACACACACCATGTACACCTACATTTCGAATCCTGGGGCAATGGCAATATCGTACAGGCGACGATAAAAGTAAGCGAGATGGGCGAAAAAGGCAAAAAAACGCGATCCATTGATGAATAAGCGATAGGATGTTGGACAATGTCGATCGTGCGACCCAAGATAGGGAATCAACAAAAAGTTGCTGCGTCGTCGGCGTCTATTGGCAATGGAAAGGTGAGGAAACACTTGATACTGTTTACTGCAATATGCTTCGTAAGCTAACTTTCCTTGTTTGGTTTCAATGGGGGTCAACGTTTGTTTCACAGATGGGCTGTTCCGTTGTTGCTCCGCTTGATGGCGCAATTGAAACGATTGCCGTGGCTTATGGACATCAATGTATTCTACTACGCTACTACCCATTGGATCTTGTATCGATGACAACAATCTTCATCGCAATTGAAATCACATGTATGTATACGATTTTCGAATTAAGCATTGCATGCATGTGTTAATCATCAAGTGTATAGATCGGCAATCCCGATAGTGGGTCAAGGCACACCCGACTGTATTAATATGCAATCGCCGTTTTGTGAAACACAGCGTCCTAGATCAAAATCACTGCATTTGTAAGCAACCACGATGTTATATAAATACGGCATCTCACACGACATTTATTTTCTTCTTCATAGATCTTTCATCTCTACGCTACAAATGACTGATCCACACCGGCGAGGAGACTCCCCGTCAGACGCCGATTCCAGTGACGAGACTATCATCTACACCTTCGATCAACAACATTCAACGTATGGTGAAGCTGATGCCGATGCCGTATCCATCAAAGGTATATATATCAAATCAAGGGTCACCTATCTTTTTTCTATAACACAGCTCACACATGCAATTGGATACTATAGGTGCCGTTGAAGAATATGAAGAAGTGCAACGTGAATTGTCGAGGATTAGTCGAGCGCAAACGAATGAAAACGATGCTGAAAAGGGCGCGGTGGAAGAGTTCAATTTGACCGAATTCTTGAGCGGCATGTCTAGCGAGGCTCAACAAGCAGGCACTAAACCCAAACATCTTGGCTTGATCTGGAAGAACTTGACAGTTGAGGTACTTTTCGATTTCCGACCGCAACAACTTTTCTCCGTTGCCTCACTTATCCAACTCACTCACATCATCATCTAATATAGGGTCTAGGCGCTGATGCACATACAATCCCCACTTTGCAAAGCCAAATTCTTCGAGTGCTTCAACCATGGAAGTTCTTTGGCATCGGTTTGGGTGGTAGCAAAAAGACTATTTTGCATGGCCTTACTGGATTTGTCAAAGAAGGCGAGATGATGTTGGTGCTTGGTCGTCCTGGTGCAGGCACAACTACGTTACTCAAGGTGCTTGCCAACCTACGTGGCTCCTATACCCGTATCGACGGTGATGTCAGCTATGGTGGCATTGATCATGATACATTTGCCAAACGCTATCGTGGCCAAGTCGCTTACAACGAGGAAGAAGATCAGCATTATGCCACTCTCACCACTAAGCAGACATTACAACTTGCTTTGCGTACCAAGACTCCTGGCAACAGACTTCCAAATGAATCCAAAGAAGACTTTGTTGACAAGATTTTATACATGCTTGGCAACATGCTTGGTCTCACCAAGCAAATGAACACTCTTGTTGGCAATGCTTTCGTCCGTGGTCTCTCTGGTGGCGAACGCAAGCGTCTTTCCATTGCAGAAGTTATGACGACACAAAGCTCTATAAACCTATGGGATGGCAGTACACGAGGCCTTGATGCAGCATCAGCATTGGATTATGTTCGTTCCTTGCGTATTATGACCGACATTTTCAAAAAGACGACCGTTGCCACCCTCTATCAAGCATCAAACAGCATCTTCAATCTCTTTGACAAGGTTCTTTTATTGGATCAAGGCTATTGCATTTATTTTGGTCCTATCAATCAAGCCAAGGCGTACTTCGAAGATCTTGGTTTCTATTGTCCACCTCGCAAATCCACTCCCGATTTCTTGACAGGCCTTTGTAATCCATTGGAGCGTGAAGTACGACCAGGGTTCGAAGACAAGGTCCCTCAATACGCATCCGATTTCCAAGATCGCTATTATGCATCCGACATTTACAAGAACATGATGACACAGCTGGAGGCTTATGAGCAACACATCCATGAGGAGAAGCCTGCTGCATTGTTTGAAGAAGCTGTACGAGAAGAACACCAAAAGCGTGCACCCAAGAGCGACCCATTCACCGCATCATTTTATCAACAAGTGAAGGCGCTCACCATTCGACAATTCCATTTATTGATCAAGGATCGTGATGCATTGATTTCCCGATACGGCACGGTTTTTACTTTGGCATTTATTTGTGGTTCTTGCTTTTACAACGTCCCACTTGATTCTGGAGGTGCTTACTCTCGTGGAGGTGCATTGATGATGACTACGATTTTCAACACCATGGTGTGCCAAAGGTAAAGCTTCTACCACTACATGGAATGATCTGTTAACTAATTTCGTTGTCATACTATATAGTGAGTTGATTTCCTTTGTAGAAGGAAGATCCATCCTTGAAAAGCACAAGCATTTCGCCATGTACCGCCCGTCTGCATTCTACTTGGCTCAAGTTATTATGGATGTACCATTCGCTCTCTTCCAAGGTATGCAGTGTGACGGCAATGCCGCATTTTAATCACACGTAGACTAACTATGGATCTTTTTCAGTTTTCATTTATGAGATTATTGCCTACTTCCTTATGGGTCTTGCATTGGATGCTGGTCGTTTCTTTTCGTTCTTTATCACCATGTTCTTCATTATCATGACAATGAACGGCTTCTTCCGACAAATCGGTGCCATCACTACCAACTTTTTCTTGGCTGGTCAAGCTGCCAACATTTTGTACACTCTTGTCTTGATGAACTCGGGCTACTTTATGCCAAAAGCTACAATGCATCCTTGGTTTTCTTGGTATGTTCATTGTTATTGTAATTGTATGCTCATGTAACTTACCGTACTTCTATTTTAGGATCTACTGGGTCAACCCAATCGCGTATGGCTATAAGGCTATTTTGATCAATGAGATGAAAGGACAAGTCTATCCATGCGAACAAGTGGGTCAATCGGTTCCACAAGGCCCTGGTTACCAGGATTGGGCTCACAGGGTGTGCACAATGCAAGGAAGCCGTCCAGGTCAAAGCTATGTGCTTGGAGACGACTATTTGCGTGACTACCTTAGCTACGAACCATCTCAACAATGGGCTCCTGATTTTGTTGTGGTAAGTACATATGATCCTATATTTCGTTGTCATGGAAACAGCTTTTAACATCTAAATTTAGGTTATTGGCTTCTTTTTGCTCTTCACCTTGACTACCGCCCTTTGCATGGAGTACATCAGCAGCAGTGCTAGTGGATCCCTCACCAAGCTTTATTTGCCTGGCAAAGCTCCCAAGCCTCGTACACGTGAAGAAGAAGATGAAAGACGTCAACGTCAACAAGAACTTACAAGCAAGATGGAATCTATTTCTACTGGTGTCACCTTCTCCTGGAGCAACTTGAATTACAGCGTGCCTTTCAAGGGTGGTCCTCTTCAATTGCTCAATGATGTTTCTGGTATTGTCAAGCCTGGTCACCTTACTGCATTAATGGGTTCTTCTGGTGCTGGCAAAACCACCTTATTGGATGTATTGGCACGCCGCAAGACCATTGGCAAAGTTGATGGCAAGATTTATCTTAATGGTGAAGCATTGATGAGTGACTTTGAACGTATCACTGGCTATTGTGAGCAAATGGATATCCATCAACCAGCGGTCACTGTTCGTGAAGCGATGCAATTCTCGGCCTATTTGCGACAAGATGCTAATGTTCCCAAGTCTGAAAAGGATGACTATGTTGAGCAAATCATTCAACTGCTCGAGATGGAAGATATCGCTGATGCTCAAATTGGTGAGGTTGGACGTGGCACTGGTATTTCTATCGAGGAACGCAAGCGTCTTACTATTGCCATGGAATTGGTTGCCAAGCCCAAGCTACTCTTTTTGGATGAACCCACCTCTGGATTGGATGCACAATCATCATACAACATTGTTCGCTTTATTCGCAAGCTAGCTGATGCTGGATGGCCTGTACTTTGCACTATTCATCAACCTTCATCGATCCTCTTTGAGCATTTCGATCATTTGCTACTCTTGGTACGTGGTGGTCGTACAGCATACCATGGTGAAATTGGCAAGGATGCTCGCACTATGATTGATTACTTTGAGTCGCATGGTGGTCCTCGTTGTTCCCCTGATGCCAATCCTGCTGAATACATTCTTGAAGTCGTTGGCGCTGGTACAGCAGGCAAGGCGAAACGCGATTGGGCTGATGTATGGGCCAATTCAAACGAAGCCAAGGCATTGAAAGAAGAACTTGATGCTATTGAAAGCACAGCTATTCAGCAACCCAACCGCAAGGCTTTGACGTATGCAACCTCGTTCTGGAACCAATTCTATCTTGTCAACAAGCGTATGACTTTGGTGTATTGGCGTTCTCCTGATTACAACTTAGGTCGATTCTTGTCGTTGATGGCTCTCTCTCTTATCAATGGTTTCATGTATTGGAAGTTGGATTACTCGACATCGGGCATGCAAAATCGTATCTTTGCTATCTTTGCAAGCTTTTTGATGGGCTATACTTTGGTAGGTTGACACGCAATGGATGACACACACAATGAATGTAGATACTAATTGCCACTTTTTATGCTATAGATTGTTGTCGCACAACCCAAATTCATGACTGAGCGTTTATACTTCCGCCGCGAATATGCATCTCGTTTCTATGGATGGTTGCCATTTGCCCTGTCAGCTGCTCTCGTCGAGGTGCCCTATATCATTGTCCTCAGTGCTTTCTACATGTTTGGTTTCTATTGGACTACAGGCCTTGTCAATACTTCCGAAGCAGCAGGTTACTTTTACATCATGCAAGTTGTTTTCGTCACGTGGTCTGTGACCCTTGGTTTTGTAATTGCTGGTTTCTCGGAAAAGCCAAACATGGCCGCTGTTTTGAATCCCCTCATTATCGCCACTCTCGTGTTGTTCACTGGTCTTATGCAGCCAGAGTCAACAATGCCACATTTCTGGAGCTCCTGGATGTATTGGGTTGGTAAGTAAACATTGCCCTTTATTGGAATCTACAAGATTACTTACGTATGGGTACCTATAGATCCGCTCCATTATTTCGTTGAAGGATTGACAGTGAATGAAATGTCGGACCTCCCTATTATTTGTGGTGATCGTGATCTTGTCAAGTTCCCACCACCTGCAGGACAAACATGTGGCGAGTACATGGCTGACTTTTTCAACTCTGGTGTCTCCGGATATCTTGACAATCCAAATGCAACAGACATGTGTGGCTATTGCAGCTTCCAATCGGGTGAGGAGTATTATAGCTTACAATTTGGCTGGTCGGCTGCCAACAAGTGGCGTAATCTTGGTATCATTGCTGGTATCACTGGATTCAATATCCTCGTCTTTTTCGGCCTCTGCTACTTGAAGCGCACAGCTCGCCGATAAGCTCATTGCGCTGTATACCATCACATCTCCTTTTTAATAATCGTACTAGTTCCATTACCTATATATAGTCACATCCCAATCACTTGTACAATTTCTCGCATCAATATCCTTACAAATACAGTGGCATTTATAGAAAATCTCGATTCATGAACAATGTATGATAATATGTAATCATGCAGCATCCCAAAAGTCAAGGCCGATTCGATCCACTTGTAATAAGTAATGTATTTGGTGAGAAAATGGCTCCCCTTTTATTGGTCACTAGCTATGTTGTAGACTGCATAGGCCATCGATCAATCCAGTTGTTGCACTTGGATTCCAATATTGCATCATGCTACTTTTTCATCGCCCGCCGTAATCATTAAAGTCTGTTACAACGTTGTTGACAAGATCCAATCTAAAGAAAAGGGGAGGTGAGTTATACAATCGAATACTTCCTTTGTTCAAGACACAATGAATCAATCGGATCCTTTCTCTCCTGTTCTTTGTGCTTTATCACACCATCATGTGTACTTTTACAATCCTGAATAAATCTTTCTACAATACAATGATGCATTGAGTGTCCACACATGGTGAGGTCTTAACACTATAACACTTGGAAATGGTCTGCTAACAAAATGTCGTAATCACTAAAGTAACCTTTAATCCAGCAACATTCAACAAGAGATAAGATGAGGGGTACAACGAATTGCTTTAGCGAGGGAGATACATCGATTTGAGGGTTCTATCCTTTGACCGTGGGTTATGCAAAAGTGGATGGATGAATGAACGAGAGGTTGCACTTGATGTGTGGTGGCGAATAATGGAGTTGGATGATAGGGGCTGTACGTGGTTGACAGGTTGCACCGAGTACGTTGATAGTGGCTGCCATGGGATAGTCTGCAAAGGACGATCATTGGATGCGTAAATCGTTCAGCGTGATAGCCTCATGGCATAGAGGTCGAGTCGAAAACGGGATGCACTCTTTTCCCATGTATTGTGTATATCCAATTCCTTCCATCCCATATACCAAATTAATATCCATATCCATATCCATATCCATATCCACAAGAAGTCGTATGTATTGAACAAAGTTGCTACTCGTAAATAAAGCTGCTTGTATATGATGGCTATCTGCTGCTCACGTAACAAAGGCCATAAGACAAGTTGCTGCAAGGGAAGGACGCTGTTTAAGACAATGGTGTAAAGGCCCTTGCTAATAGCGATTGCTGGAATGAACGCTGTTACGATTGGTTTTGGTAGAGGAGTGTGCAAGAGCGTGTGTTGTGTCACGACAGACGTGTGTTGTAGAAGAGTGACAAGAAGGATGGTATACACGCCATGAACTTGCCATCCACTCAAAGACGTTCGGATCAAGACAATCGTAGGATTGGCATGGTGGATTGAAGCAGGGCAATCGTTCGCATGGTGGTGGTTGTACTTGATTGGGCAAGCAGATGAGAATGTGAGGAAGAGGCAAGAAGCCACGAGCGGAAGAAGTGGGAATTAAATGCAGGTTGAATTGACATTTCTTTGTTTGAGCGCTGCTCAATCAAATCTTCTCGGATCATGCAAGTTGAAAGATGGGGATGATGGGCTGGAGCAGGACAATCGTTCACATGCATTGGATTGGGCAACAATGGAGAATGGGAGGAATGGGCTATCAAGTGGCAGTTTACAAATAACTTACCAATTTGATTCTTCTGATATTGGATGATGTTTCTGTGTTTGAGCGTTTTTCAGTCAAATCTCATCGGATCAAGAAAGTTGAAGGATGGGGATGATGAGCTGGAGCAGGACAATCGTTCACATGCATTGTTTTGGGTAAAAAGGGTGAATGGGAGGACTAAGGTTATTAGCTGGCATTTTGAACTGTTCCTAAATAGTGTACAAGAATCATGCATCGCCTGTGCTGAATGACTCAAGTTACACAAACACGCCCTCTGCATCTTTTGTTCTATTATAGTCATACTACTTTACATTAAACAACAAAATCCGAATGGCGACGTTTTTGGTCTGCACCTTTCCCACACCGCATCATTACGGTTCTTTGGCGCCTTCATCACCTTCGAATACCATGTCGAGCACGTCTACATCACCTTGCTCCCACCATCGCCCCTTCACCACTTTGTCATATCTGTCAATCAGCCAACATTCCTGGTTTACAACCCATTGAGGATGACAAGCATTTTTTCTTCTCATGTCCATTCATTCAACCCTTTTGGCGTCGTTTATTCGATCACTACATCCCCTGCACAGGTCCCATATCATGGGATCACATCAAACTTTGAACCCCCTCTCATCCTTCCGCCGTGGTATACCTCCTTTCCTCTCTTTTCGTGTTTTTGGTAGCCTGTGGTGTTTGGGGCTGTATGGCGATGCCGCTTAGGACTTCATATACCAAGAAACCCCTATCAATAGAAGACCATCTTTTACGCTCGCATACACTCTCATTGAACGTTCCGTTCTCCAAGGCCACTGTACGTTCCCCTACATAATTTTTTTCTCTTTTCATATTAATGCATCTTATATTGACGCGGAATAAAACATACACTACAAATTTACATTAAACAAAAGACCACTTCTCATATAGCATCACGCTTACAAACATAAAAGGTGCCTGTATCTCCAAACTTTACAATCAAGCGTGGGCTCTACAATAGATCAACGTGCTCGTCGGGGTCAAAGGGAGATCTTGTGTCAAGTATGAAGTTCATCGTGGGCAATCTGAATTTCGCAATGTCGCTACCAGCCAAACTGGATCCGGGAGCTCAACCTCTTTCGACGACGACCAAAAAATATTTTTGGGCTGTTTGCGACATTGAACGCGAAACTTTCACATAAAGTGCTGTTGGCCAAGCCGAGCCCATTGCTGCTGTAATAAAAAGCCCACGTTTCATTGTAAAGTTCGGAGATACAGGCACCTTTATGTTGTAAGTGTGATGCTATAAGAAGAGTGGTCTTTGTTCATTGCCAAGTAGGTGGACCCTGGCAAGAGCAAAAGATGCAGATGGTCGTGTTGTGTAACACAGCTACGTTTGCATGACTGGAGAGGATGGAAGGATGATACTGTATACTGTGACAAAAGCCCGTACATTGCGAGAGCTAACAGCCATTTCTTCACAATAGCCACTGTTGTCCACTCTATGACATGTGAGCGATTCTCCTGCTTCAGACATTCATTTCCATTGATTGGATTATGTTGATCCGAGTTGATTTGACCGAGATACAGCCAAAGAGGGATTACATCAATCCACACATCTAACCATGCTCTATGTTGCTCAACTGAAGTAACCTTGTATGAGCGTAGCTCAACCGATCAACTCGGATCAACATAATCCAATCATGGAAATGAATGTCTGAAACGGGAGAATCGTTCCACTGTCATAGAATGGGCAACATTGCCATTGTGAGGAAGCTGGCTGTTGCTCGAATGTATGGGATATTGTCAATAGTATACAGTATCATCACTCCATCCTTCCTAGTCGGGCGGTAGCTGAGTTGCACAAAGAGGCCTCCCTCTGCATCTTTTGCTCTGCCAGGGTCCAACGACTTGACATTGAACAAAGACCGCTCTTCATATAGCATCATGCTTACAGCATAGTAAAAACATAAAGGTGCCTGTATCTCCAAACTTTACAATCAAACGTGGGGTTTTATTTGAGCAATATTGTCGTCGGGGTCAAAGGAATCTTGTGTTAAAGTATGAAGTTCATCGTGGGCAATCCCAGATTTCGCAATGTCGCTACCAGCCAAACTGGATCCGGGGCTCAACCTCTTTCGACGACGATCAAAAAAATATTTTTTGGGCTAGTTGCGACATTGAACGCGAAACTTTCACACAAGGTGCAGTTGGCCAAGCCGAGCACATTGCTCTAATAAAAACCCCACATTTCATTGTAAAGTTTGGAGATACAGGCACCTTTATGTTTGTAAGCGTGATGCTATATGAAGAGTGGTCTTTGTTCATTGTCAAGCAGGTGGACCCTGGCAGAGCAAAAGATGCAGAGGGTCGTGTTGTGTAACACAGCTACGTTTGCATGAATGGAAGGGTCAATGTATAATTACTTTATGGATCATCTAGGAACAGGCATGTATTGCTAGCTAACGGCCACTTTTATCCAATCATCATTGTTGCGAGATCCACTGCATGGGAACGATGCCCCTGCTCCAGACATTCATTTCCGTGATTAAAGTAGGTTGATCCGAGCTGATTTGACTGAGCTGCGGTCAAAGAGAAGTCCA